GGCCGATGGAAGCGTTGTTGGTGTGATCAGGAAGAAGCGGATTGTGATGGGGTGGGACGCGCCTGTGAGGGATTGGAGACGACAGGGTAAGCTAAACGAAACTATTATTCTACAGGGTGCTTTAAAAAAATGTGAACACGTATATGGGACTAAGGTCTCTCCATGTAGCCTTAACAGGCAAGTGCCATCAGCGACCCGACTCATGAGGGCCGGCATGGCATGAGAGGTGGTGGGGCAGCGCCAAGTCTCGCTGCCTGTGTCTCCATCAATGCTGACACTTACATACGGCACCAGGTACTAATTTAAGGCTGAGTCAATCTAGGGGAGGCCCATGAGACAGTTCAAATGTTCACAACTGTTATTGGTCGTGTGCGGGCTGGATCATAGCGCAGTGCGTTAACCACCCGGTCTGTAGCGATTCTGCCCGACCGCTCAACCACACTGCGACATACACAGAAGAACCCAATGCGTATGAGGGATGTTGCGAGACACATTATATCCCTATACAAACAACGTGAGCAAACTACTCTATAGTCCTAATGTTCTTCTGAAATCGATAATTGGATAAATGTATACATATGTGCGTTAGCCCATTAATCAGTGGAATTAAACGTGTGAATTCCGTGATAGAAAATCAATTGATAAACCTCCATGTGGGTTTGGAATCGATAATTTGCCACACAGACACACATTTGATTGCTCTGTTAATATTTTTTCCCTAAATGTATTTAAACTATGAGGGTGTGCTACCTGCTAAAACTTGGTTCTTACAAATAGCCATGAATTTAAAGAATAATGGAACAAAACCTGAAAAGCGTGCAAAGTGGCACGGAGAGATGCATGCCAGGCATTGCATTGGGAGACACGAGAGAAACACATGCATAGATTAATTATCGAACATAGACCAAGTTAATGATGTAATTCACACTGTTAAGAGACCTACGTGGGCGCCACGGTGGCGAGATGTTTACAACCTCGCATGGTGTACAGGAGGTTGTGGGTTTGATTCCAATCTGACGAATGCTGCTGTATATTTGGTGCTCGCATGTCCTCTCTCTCTCCCCGTGGTCGCGTGAATTTTTTTTTTCCCGAGTCCTCTGGTTTTTCCTCCACATTTAGAATCAACGTCACGCGTTTAGAGTATTTGGCTGCCTTCAATTGCCACGTGATAATCCATTTCGCTGAGATATAATTTGTGGCCAGGTCGCTTCTGAAAAAGAGCTACATAGCTCAGTGGGCCTTACCGGGTAAAATAAAATAAAAATAGACCACGTGACGAGAAGGAACGATGGACGGTGGCCAAGAATAATGACGGAGTGGCAGGCGAGGAATGGAACGCATCCGAGAGGCCGACAGATATGCAGTAAGTGAAACCAGGGGTGGCGGTGGCAGCGGCTTGCGGAGGCCTTCATCCACTCGTGCATTTACGATGGCTAGGTGATGATGATGATGATAATGATCATCATAGTCGTAATGCGGCTGCATCTCGAGACCATGTCCAATATCTAACACTAAACTCTTTTTTGTACTCTACCAGGTAAGGCCCACTGAGCTGTAAAGCTCTTTTCCAGAAGCCACCGGGCCACAAATGATAGCTCAACCAAGTGGCTTATCGCGTGGAAATAAATGCGGTGGGAAAAACTGGCGGACCCGGAGAAAAATCCAAATATACAGCAGGCGTCAGGATCGAGATCGAACCCACGCGCTCCTGCATACCTGGCGAGGTAGTTGACATCTCACATCGTCAGCCTTGTAAACCGTACCCATCTAAAAAAAAACACCCCGTGAGACTCAATGAGACTCTTCCCGCGGGGCAAATGCAAAGCTCCCATTAACTACACATCTCCCACATGGCGTTGTCTTGGGCCTTCAACCATTACGAAACCTACACCGCCCAACACAATTATACAACTGAAATCCTGAACAGAGGCAGGTGTAATCGAGACGGGAGGGGGGGAAGGGCGATGGGAGGGAGCTCTTATTGGTGACCAAGGCCATTCAGCCCCGCCCCCCCAACATCATCACCTGCCCCTGCCCCCCCCCCATTCTCCGCCATTTCCCAATCGATATGCCAAACCCCCCCCCCCACTCGTACGTTTTTTTTTCGATGCAAAAAAATGCATGAGGGGGTGGTTTCCGTGGCCCGCATTCTCGCCTCCCCGCAGTTATCACGGCGCGGCGCAGACGACGTCGGATCCGAGTAAATCGCCACTCAGCTCACGAACGCAAGGCGCGCGCGGCCACCGCGTGCGTGGTCTTCTCTGCGCTGCCTCTGTGTGGTGCTGGTGGTGTGGGGGGAGCAGCAAGTGGAGCGGTGGGCGCGCTGCGAACCTCGCGACCCTTGTTCCTCCTCCTCCTCCAAAAAAAACCCAGCTCGGTGGCCGCTCACGGCCCGGACAACGGTGACGATTGTCTGAATCGGTTCTGAGGCCTCCCCCTAGGTCGACTCGGCCTCAAACGAGTGCCTGGTGCGATGTGTAGTAAACATCGCCGCTGGGAGAGACAAAGGCGTGCCGGGCGTGGTGGTGCTGGCCACCCACTCCCCCTCGTGTGCGGTGCCGGTCTTCATAGATGCTCGCGAACAGCCCTTGCCCCAACAGTTTGTTCGTAGGGATCATAGGCTATACGAGGGGACCGTTGTCTTTGTAAATATATATGACGGTTTCTGTGTGATGTGTAGATTTGTGTTCGTGTGCAAGTGTGTGTAGGTTAGTTGTCTGTACGCTGTGTGCGCGTGTGTTACGGGTCTTTGCGTGGCTGTCGGTCTGGATTTTCTCGTTTGTACGTGGCGGATGTTTGGTGCTTGCTTGCCTTTGCAGTCCACATTGCCGAAGGGAGAGATCATTATCCTCATAAAACTCTAGGTATATGCATGGCTGTGTGTGTGTGTGAAATGGACGAATTGTAAAATAACGACAATCATTAATGCAGTGAGTGTTAAGAGGGCAGGCTATGGATGGGATTCGGATCAATGGTAGGTTAAGAATTAGAGATAGTGTTTCAAAAGTCAGTGTTTGAGAGCTGGTGGCAGGATCAGATACAAGTTTTCATCCAATACCATTCGCCACTAAGTGACGGTGACGTCACCTCGGCGCCTGTGCCAGGCTAGGTGCACTCTGAGGCCACGTGAAGTATCGAAGGCTCGCTGACTGGAGGTCTCGGGACAGACCCAGGTGCCACAGGTTGGCTGACCGAGAAGGTTACATCTAACACGCATGCACACAGTGCATGCTGCAGCGTATAAACGCACACATTAAAAACGTAACAATTTACAGCCCTTTATTAAACCACCGCTAGATCGAGGCCTCCCTACACCCGTGTTGGTCAATGGAGGTCGACTGATCAAAATTCACCACACTGGCCAGTGCGCATTGGTGAAGGGAGCCATAGGATTGGCGCAGATAACAATCTCTGCGGACGTTAGCCGTCGACGGAATTCAAAATGAGATATAGTTAATGAGCCCTGATCAAGATAGTTTATTTGTCAACGCCACCAGAGGTGGCATAACGTTGGCGGTTAGAATTCATTTAGGTGGCCAATAACGGTGACTTATGTAATAACCATTTGAAATTCGTGGGTTTTCAAATAATTCACTCTTATTGGCCGTGTAAATATTTTTTTTTAGGTTATGCTACCTTGTGGTGCAAATTGATGGTGACCCATTGGCTGTTATCTTGGTTCATAGCGTTGTGAATGAACCGCAGTGCAACACATCCTACATATACGCACTTTTATGTAAAAAAGACGTTCCTTCGATTGTAATTCTAACATATATTGCCATCATTTCAACCAGTGTCCCTTGAACAAAAAAAAAAGCGCCCGTGAAGTTCCCTTCACTCACTGACACCCGATTAAATAGGCTTTTTTAACATCCGTTGCTTATGTGCATTGTGTTGAAATCTGTGTAGGTTTCAGGGTTGTGTTGCATGGCTCTCCGTCCGATGTATTCTCGGGGAGTGCCGCGTGTTGTTTGGGATGACGGCTGACGTTTCGCTCCAACGGGAGCTTCTTCAGGAACACGCTGTCCAACGTGAACACACCACGGAGTGCTGTTCCGTTTAAACGGTTATATTCAAAGTGTATTTTTTGACCGTGTTCAATGAATGTGTCCTGTTGCGATTGCACAAGACCCCGGATCACGTCTGCCGAGAGTGTTTGGCCATTTATAACATCTCCATGGCAACACTATGAGGTGGAGAGTGGAGACGACACAACCTTCTGTGAAAGTAACTACTCTCCCCAAGGCACCGTCAAGTAGACCCACCGATATCTGCCACGTAACACGGCCGGCGTGTGTTCACAACCAAATGTTCATTCATTACCCCACCCACCACAGGGGATAGTGAATGGTGAGATGATAACCTGTACGGTGAAGTGGTCAGCACGATGAGCTATGAACCCGGCAACCTGCGATGGATCATTGTGGCGGAGAGGCACGTGAATGGGTCCTCCCATCTCAACCGTCACCAAACCGCATTGCCCAAGCACGATGAAGTCGGGTCAAACAAGCCCCACGATTGATATGACGTGGGGAGGCCTTCATCCAGCAGTAAATTGACAAAGGGTTAACAAAAAAAGTGTAATTATGACAAAACAATTATCATGGCTAAATGAATAGCAGACCAACCTGCAAAAATATAAAGACTATATTTAGGGAAAGAGCGATACTTTTCACATGAGCTGTTACTAACGGTACATAATTTATAGCATATTAAAAAAATATCAAACGTACCTCGCGTAACATTGAGTGGATGCGCTGCGCGGCCCCACTTTTGATATTCGTCGCAAACCGTTATGCAATTGTGTGGAGCGGTTTGCAATACATAATTTAACAGTGGTTATGTAAACATCGTACTAGAGAGAGGGAGGGACGGGGGGGGGGATAACTTGAGTGATATCCAACTCGCGTCGTGGATTTTCGAATGACTGCTAATGAAGGCATCGAGTGACCAATCACCACATCCGCATGCTCGGCAAATCGATATGTGGGACCCAATAGTAATCTCTTCAATTCATCAGCAATTTTTATTCAAGTGACGATGTGCGCCTCCTAAAAAGATTGTAAAGTGAACATTTTTTTGTATTTTATTGTTTCCCTTCTACGTGACTTTACCGAAAGAACCAAAAATATGAATATTTAAACATGCGTTGAAAACACATGTGCATATTTAAAACAAACATTAGTGCAGTAAAATATCTACCCATAAACATACAACATTTAATACGCTCGATAATTCAATTAAAGTTTCACAAATGTGGTCGTGATATGAAAGCACATGCAATCTTTCTGATAGTTACAGTGCTATACTGCATGAAAGCATTTTTTCTAATTTTCTCGGGCCGCATTCCTTCAACAGTTCTGCGTGCGCACGTGAAAGAGCTTCTTCAAATAGAAGACAATTAGTATAGGACGCTCATGGAATCACAACAGTCTCATATTAGAGACAAAGTTACACGCCCTCCATTGCCATGCAATGTCACGTGGGCAACAGCACACACGCCTGCGTGCCTTACATTAACCATTACCGTAATATCATGAACCCAAGGGTCACGTGCAAATCTGTGCACTCCAAATTATCTTACAACCGAAAGGAGAGAGACAAGACCTTCGGGTGCCCACTGCCGCCGAACGGCGATAAAATATTTGGACAACCCGTACAATAAAAAAAAGCCGTGCAAAGGAGGCACCCATACGTGCCAAGCCCTCTCAGATCGTCACAGGTGTTTGCACTGAGCCACGGAGATTTTAGCCCCAGAGGGGTCCCATGGCGCCAAAATCTGTTTCCCCATCCCGCCGCGTGCCGGCGCCAGAAATAGCCTCCATTGTGGCCTTGCTGGTACCACCGCAACGGGGCGCAACGCGCCGCTTAGATGAGCCCCCGGTGGAGCCAGCTGTGCGTGTTGGCGTGTGGGTGCTGCCGTGCCCAGCCCAGGATGATGAGAGTGATGCTCATCAGACACACGGCGACACCGAACACAAGCAAACTCAGCGCCTGCGTGAGAGTGTGAGGGGGGGGGGGGTGCAGAGAACGATCACAAAATATTTGGACAATTGGTACAAAGAATAAAAACTCAACACATTTGTCAATGACACTGCCCTGAAGAATTGTTAATCGGTTAAGTTTTGGGAAATGGTCCTTATTCATAGCAGGAGAGGCCAGAGTGTTTGCGTGAATAATAGGTGAAGACTGCACTATACACCATGGGGTCTGAATATAAATTTAGTTTAATGGTTGTGCAAAGTGCATTTCTTAAAATGTATTCCGTTCTTCCCACGCACCTTCGATTCGTGCGGTTGGCTACGTTCGGTGCGAAAGAAGATGAACAGACATGCATGCAAGTTTCTTAAATCCCCTCCCACCTCCTTCAGAATGTCTGGCCAGCGTGAAAGCCTAGGCCAAAATACCCTTTCGATGGGCTCTCAAGAGCTTCTTCGAGTTGAAGCCCTTTCGCCCAGCAGTGGTGTGAGCGAGCATTTAAGAAGGCTGCACATCCACATATGAACCAGTACACCACTGTGGCTGCCGGTATTTTAAGCCACTTAAAAATATTGAGTTCATGACTCATCCATCCATGACACTTCCTTGCAGGGTATTAACAATGATTTACCCCCACCCCCCCCCCCGCCAGCAAGCAAAGAAAGGCATTCTTTAAATTACAACTTCAATTGTGCACTTACTCCCATTTTCTGTGGGCTGAGGAGTGGCTCCCGGCTAGCAATGATGTAGAACAGGGCCGGGAAGATGAAGAGTAAGCATGTGGAGGTGGTCGCACCTACAAGCGACATCGGTGAAAGGAGGAAAATCACCAAGCACTGAGATGAAGCAAAAAAAAAATACCATTCATTTACCACCATTAAAAACACCAAAATGTCTAGGAAGTGAAATGAACATCAGCGCTTCGTACCTTTTCCCTCTCTACCTATTACCAAATAATCCAGAAAGCTGCCATCACATCTCTGAAGCTAAGTCTGGTTGAGCCTGGATAGTGCTTAGGTGAATAATCGTCGTGCATGCTTGGTTGTCACACAGGCGGATCTGGGACTGTCACATGGTGATCAGCACGAGGGCGGTGTGTGTGTGTGAATATATCATTGTACTGTATTTCTACGCCCCCACATCTACACTCCCCACCTTCACCAACCAGCGTAAATCACAGCCAAATAACCCTCACAACAGGCGCATGCGTAGCTCGCGAAACTCATCCGGCAGTGGATTGAGATAAACACACACATGCATAGTGCCTCCCTAATATGACACTGCCAACGATGGCCTGCAGGGTACCATTCTCAGACCACGCACCACACAGTAACACCACCGTCCGTTTTCATCATTCACCCCGCTTGGCAGTGTTTCAGATATTCAGCAGGACGCGAAATTAAAACGCAACTATTTTCACTTTTATGTTCCCACGTAAGGCCCACCGAGCTATACAGCTCTTTTTCAGAAGAAACCTGACCACAAATGATAGCTCAACGAAGTGGCTTACCATGTGGAAATTTCCAGAAGCCAAATACTCTATAGGCGCGTATCTAAATGTGGAGGGGAAAAACCGCAAGACGCGACCACAGGGGAGAGAGAGAACACGCAAACTCCTGAACTCGTCCGCTGGCTCACCAATTCGCCAAGCTCGACATGAACACGCAACAAGTGCTGATCAAACTCAAACTCCATCCACCACCCCCCACCACGCGAAAGAAGAAAAAAATATGACCTCACCAACAAAACCAAACACCTCCTTAATGTTTGGGACGAAGATGGCCAAAATCAAGATGAGCGTGATGAGCGCGAGGGTGGCCAGGGTGTGGTGCAGCCACGAGAAGGGCCGCTCGTCAGCCAGGAGTTTGAGCACTGCCTTCCGAGCCTGCCGGCAAAGAGTCCCGAGAATACATTTGTGAGACGGATCCAGAAAACACGCACACACACACACACACATTCACTCGAGGGCATTTATAAGAAATCATTCATTGTAAGCACCGGAGTACTATGCACCTGCAATATGACAAATAGCATTTAAGTTCATAATAACCAGATTATAATAAGAAATAAATAAGTAAAATTATAAACTGCATGCAAGGATCTGTTATTATCGTAAATAAGAAATAACATTTATGCCCAGTCCCCTAAAAGGCTTTCTGAATCTGTGTTTTCCAGCAGCATTTTGTTTTTGAGTGGGGGTTAACTTCTCTGAGAATCGTCAGGAGGCCAAACGCTATCATAGCTCTGCCTTGGAAAAAAAAAACACTTTTTATTAACAAACAGCTCTCATGTACACGCATAGTGCTTTTGTCAATCCACTGCTGGATGAGGGCCTCCCATTGCTATGCAGGCCATGAGAGATCATACTTCACCACGCTGGTCAGTGCGGGTTGGTGAAGGCGAGCAGCATAAATGTGGGAGCAAAGAAGTGCAGCGCAATGGCTTTTGCTACACTGTCCTCTGCTTACCACCAAATTAATTAAGCATAACGCTTCTTAGAAAAAAAAGACGTTTCAAAGGGCTATCACCTTGTTATAAAGGATATGAATTAATTCATGAATCATGCCATGCGCGTCTTATAAAAGGGACGTATAGTCTCAAAAGGCTCTCACCTGGTTATAAATACTATGGAAATGAATGAATTTAATGAACCCAAATAAATTTGTCTCAAATAGCTCTTGTGGTTATGAAAGACACAAATTAATCAATCAATCATATCACGCGTCTTATAGAAGACTTTTTTCAAAGACCTTTCACCTTGTTACAAATAAAAGAATACGAATTAAGGAATTAAAATTAACAAAATAATTAAATGATTCACGCCGTGCTCTCTTACATGATCAGCTGGGTTGGTTGCGTATGGTGCGAAAGAAGTTCAACACAGTGTCTCACCGGGAAGTGGATGAGGGGCACGGTGAGCAGCACAGACATGAGGATGCAGAGGCGCACGGACATCACCAGCGAGTCGTGCCGTGTCAGCAGTCCGTACATCTCCAGCAGCTCCGGGCTCACGCTGCCTGTAGGAAAAAACGTTCATTTCACAAAGCGTCCCGACGCTGAAACAAGCCTTGGAAAAGTCCAAATCACTGCCGGCGGTCGAGACGTGCCAACGGTGGAAATTGCGAGAGCACAAATGGACTTGACCAGGTGCGTTCAGGATAATATTGCCGTCAGGGTAACATCGGTGAAAAGCGATACATTTGTATGTTGAACTTCTCTCGCACTGTACGCAGCCAACCGTCCTCATCGGAGGTGCGGGGGAAGGACAACAAACTAAACACAAAAAGCAGTTCCAAAGAAATGAGTTCAATCAAAATTTTTAAGTGCATAGCTCCAGTGGCTTCATATGTTTGAACCGGTCCTAGGTGTCCCTGTTTACCAACTCGCACTGACCAGCGTGGCGAATGTATAGTCAAACAAACTCCAAGACTGACACAGCATGGAGAGGCCGTTCATTCATCAGTGGACTGACAAAAGGGAAGTAAAATTTTATTTTTGTACGATTAGTGCACAAACAAAGAGCGTAAAAGAGCTTTGATGCAATACTCACTGTAGAAAGTCAGGTATCCGAAGATGGCAGAAAGGTAGTAGATGATAAAAGCCAGGGAGATGCTCGTATTCGCCACTTTCTGCATCTTGCCTGTGCTAGGCCTGAAATTGCAGACAGCACAGACGACCAAACCATGTCATCGAAGAAAAGAAAATAAATTACTCAAGTCCTGCCGTCTTTCTTTTTGAACGACAATCTTGAGTAGTCTAGACAAAGGATAAAAAAAAAACATCCACTCAAGCAGCACCAAACAACCTTTGCTCACGACAAACTGTTACAATCAGTCACTTGTTGTGCCATCTTCACCGCAAATCAATCACCACTAGACTTTGATGGGCACTAATTTGTTACTTTAGCCCCACAATGTACTTGTGTCCAAGTCTGTCATTGTTGCGTCTTTGATGTCAGGGTCACCCCGCTCACCTCTGCAGCTCGCAGTATATGGGCAGCACGGACGTGTGGCACAGGAAGGAGAATGCCATTGTAGGGATTGCGTATGCACTCTGCGAGGACATGTTCAGGTAACATCGCGGTGAGCAAACACAAAAACGTTGAACGGCGAGACAGTAATCCCAATGACTGTACATGTGCAGCCCTTTTAACATTTGGCTATCATCATCATCATCAGCAGCAGCATATGTTCAATCAATTTCTGGATGAATACCACCCCAAGCCGTCACCATCTCTCATGATCCAGCGATGCAACAATAGCACCTGCACACGAGCTGAATTCATTGCTATGTCTCCTTGGTGGACATCCTACCAGAGGCATTCCATCCCTTGTCAGTCGCCCCATCATTAATCATGACCATCGGCCATCATTCCTTCGAGCGACATAGCCTGCGCAAATCTTATCCAATATATTTTTTCAGGCCTTGGAATACTTTAATAAAAGCATCAGGGCAAGGGCTATTATTTAATACAGGCATGCTTAAATTTTGATTTAAAGCTTTCGTGACTGCAGTAATTCATATTCTTAGCTCTTTCGGTAAAGTCACATTGAAGGGAAACAATAAAATAATAAAATATATATAAAACAATAAAAATTCTCACGACACACCTGATGACGACCGTTTGTGTTATGGTCGAAACGCTGTGAGAATTTTTTTAAATATATATTTTATTATTTCATTGTTTCCCTTCAACGTTACTTTACCGAAAGAGCTAAGAATACAGGCATGCTTGTGATGCGTTAGTTATATTATTCTAAGTAGATCTTTTAAATGGCAGAATTGTACTCTGCAGTGCACCATTGAATGCATAGATAGCCAGGAAGCGTTAGAAAGAACTTCATGTAAATACTTCCACTTTGACTGTACATGCTCAACAAGTAGGAGGGCAAGGCACGTGACTGTGAGAATTGACTCACTAAACCGAATGCTGCTCCTTTTGTATATGTACAGTCAATCCACTGCTGGATGAGGGCCGCCCCAAGCCGTATGGGTCATGGGAGCTATTAGACCACACTTCACCACACTGGTTCGTGCGAGTTGGTGAAGTCGGGCAACACAGATCTGGGAGCATAGTACAGCACAGCAATGGATTAATTGCTCAACTGCAAACGACTCAAAGTGACATTAATGTGGCTTCCTGCACAAATTTGAGAATGGGGACTGTGTTGATCTCCTACTTGCGGTCCAGAGTGGTGGACATTCCACATTCCTATGCTGGGGATGAGTACACCCATAGCACGACCACCGTTGGCTTCCCAAAAATTGGAACTCATGTTATTCACTCTGGAGGGGTGAATGCCCTGACTGGAATGCTAACCCGGGCACTCAAATAAACTTTGCACACCAAGCCGTGAATGAAAACCGAGCACAGACGAACGACGCTGCCATGTGTATTTTTTTTGTGATTAATTTCGTGTCATTTTAAAAATTATTATTAGAATTCGATGGGGGAAACGAAATACACCGACCTGGAGGGAAAGTGTGAAGAGCTTTGGTGAACAAGCATCGTCAGATGAATTGCTGGCATTTGAATTGTAAAGCTGCAGGGAAAAAAAAATACATATACAAAAGACACATGAACATTTCTTCACATGGCATTTCAAAAGCTTAACTTGGAGGACATGATTTATAGAAATAAAAAAAAATCCAACAAACTTAAACTCACCGTATAGTATCCCAGTGTGACATTGGTGGGAGGCAAAGGACAGGGCACTGAAAACTTCTTGATGATAACCTGTAGGGCAAGTAGATGGAGGGGGTATGATTGCTATCATATTAATTTCCATTAGAATTCACAATCGCAACATTTTATCATAGCTACAATTATCACGGGATGCTGCAGTGGTACAACAATTAGCACACTGGACTGGCAATCCAGGTTACCAGTTTTATTCGATCTCCCAGCTCAGCAATGTTTAAACAAAGGCCAGGTTTTAAATATATATATACCCTGCTTCTCTTTTCCTGGCAGGATACATGGATGTATGGATATGCCACAGTTTACATATGGCGGAATATACCCTGTACCATATAAATAACCCAAACAGCATTGTATACCCATAGTCATTCATACGCATTCCTTAATCCACCCCCCCTACTTCGCACAAGAAGATCGCACAAGTGTTGTCACCACATCTACGCCTCTATTTAAGGAACGACGCAGGTGGACTTCTCCACAAATCTGGCTGTCGCCCGATGAAGCTGGTTGCAATTACCGGCGAAATGTTGTACACGGATTGTAAATGTTGTGGCTTGGCTCTCCAGCACACCGGTGGGCTGTACTAGTAAACCTGACTTGACATGTTCTATCTTGATTTGAAGCTTTCGTGACTGCAGCAAACCATACTCTTTGGTTCTTTCGGTAAAAGTCACGTAGGTAGAAATAAGATAAAATAAATCACGACGTTTCGATCGCAACACGAGCGACCGTCATCAGGCGGAACCGATGCAGAAGGACAACTGCTGATTTAGTCACGTTCTGTTTATGTGACAAACCTTACAAATTGGCTGTGTCGGGTGGTGGCGGGTTTAACGACACATTTATATATTTAGCCAATCTAATCCAAAAACACCTGTGTTATGGTGTCTGTAAAATTTTCTTAAGTGGAGACCTTTCTGCCAACAATGGACGTGAGCAAGCGATTTCAGGGCTAGACATTTGCCATTTTCATAAATGTATATCATCTCAACAAGCTGCAAGTAAGTATAGTCAAATGTAACTTCAAGGAATTAACTACATGATAATAGGTTTTTCCCCTTTTTTCTGGCAACAAAACAGGTGCTAAGATATTCTTGGTTCTTTCGATAAAGTCACGTAGAAGGGAAACAATAAAACAATAAAAGATATTATTTTATTAAAATCATATTTTTAATATCATTTTTATTATATAAAATATTTTTTTAATAAAATAATATTATTTTAATAAAACAATATTTTTATTAGAATTTTTATTATAATAAAAATAGTATTTTATTTAAAAATTATAATAAAAATATTATTGTATTGTTTCCCTTCTACATGACTTTACCGAAAGAACCAAGAATACGAATCCCTGCAGTCACGAGAGCTTTAAATCAGGTGTTAAGATGTTGAAACACCAAACTGAAACATTTTACAAAGAATCATGTCTGCATTAACCACAATACTTGTGGTCAGAATGCAAACAAAAAAACACTGATAATATATGCATTGTCCTTGAAACTGATTGGTCCACAACAGAGACAGCTTTCTTTTGAGCCTCGTCTCAAACGGTGTGAGACCAGAGGACGCCAAAAGGCGCAACACACCGGTGTGCTGTACTAGTAATGAATCGCGAGAATATGGTAATGTTGGAAGTTGCCTTGGTGGCAATAACGGCTTTATCGCGGATTATAAACTATTTATTTTCAACTACTTTTTATTTTACGAGGTCAGGCTCACTGAGCTACAAAGCTCTTTTTCAGAAGCAACCTGGCCACCAATGATAGCTCGTATCACGTGGCAGTGTAAAGCAGCGATGTGCTCCAAACGCATGTTTCTAAATATGACCAAAACACCCCCCCCCGCCCACCTTTTACTTTAAAATACATTGGGGGAAAATGAGATCTTACAATCCAGAGAACATGGTAGTTTTCTTCACTCTGCCAATAAAAGGTGTAATGTTGCCGTTTCTTTGAAGGACTAGGAATACATGCCAATATGGAACTGCTGCCAAATCACATTAGCATCAGTCTGCAAAGGGCACTGCACGTAGATTCGTCATGCCCTTCCACACAAATAAAGTTTCTTCTTGGGTGGCTGAAGAAGAGCGTGCAGCGGATGGGGAGAGGGGGTGGGAGGAACTGATTGTGGAATGGAGAATATTCTTGTGCGATTTACCACAATGGTAAAGAACAGCATGAAGAACACGGAGACGCAGCTGACATAGCCGAGGAACCCTGAACACATCAGCAGAGATCAATACGACATCATAAAACACAGGAAGCGCGGCCACAATAGCGACGGAGACAATAACATTTACTTAGCTTCGTTCAATTCGAGTCCATCATACCCACTTGGTCAGGTCAATGACGATCATTTATGGGCAGAGGTAATGGTGATTAAATCATCAGCTGTGCATGGCTCCTGCTAACAGACGACACTGGATCAGGCTTCGTCTGCTCATCAACAGAGACACGGTTCGTGTTCCGGGGACATTGAGAAAGCGTGCTCGTCGCGGGTCCTGCCAGACTACTCAATCTGCAATTGACTTAGCACCATCAATACCAATGTCAACAAATTACTGAAATTCACTAAATGTGGGCGCTGTGAATCAGTGCCCGTTTTTCGCATTGCCTTAAGCACAGAAAAAAAACACACACAAACCAATTTTTGGCAGGAAGGCCAAGGGAAGCACCACCAGCAGAGCCAGCAGCAGCAGGAGGTAGGTCCCATGCATGTACCAAGCACTGCAAGCACCAAACACTTGCGTTACACACAACAGCAAAATCAAATGCCAGTCGATGAGGGTGCTAATCAGACAGTACTGCTTGGGTGCAATTTTAACAGGAAAAGTTAAACGTACTTTGCTGCTGGCTCATAGTTCAAGAAGCCCCTGATAACCTTTGGCATCTCAGACTTGATGATGAAAAGATATGAAGACATTGCTGAAAATCGGAAAAAAAACAGTATTAAACACATGAATCCTAAACATATTTCAGTTCATGTGCACATCATATTGCTTGAACAAAAGTGGGCTTAGGGAGAGAACACGCCTTTAAGGATGAAACTCACCTGAATGATGACTACTGTGGAGATGAAGCAATACGATCAGCTCATATGCTGGAAGGTGATGGGGGTTGGGAGGCTTTCAACCAACAGTCGATAGGCCATTTCTGTCGATGATGATGGTGATGATGATGATAAATACTACACCAGTAAGCAAATCGGTACGGCATGCAAAGCAGCCATCAACGTGTGATTAAATTAAGAAACCTTAAAAAGAAGCATTCCCAACTCACCGCCTATATTCTGTAGGATAATAGCACCAGCTGCCATGATCTGCAAAGGAAATTAATAGAGGAGTGATAAGTGCACTTTACAAGTGGTAGACATCTGGCCTATATCAGCTATTCACTACACCACTACACCAACATTATGGTAACACGAGGCAGTGTGTGTGGCAGCTTCATGTGGGTAGAAAACTCACCTTGCCTTTTCTGCCAAGGGCGAGTGTTCCCAGATCTTCGTAGGAATTGACACCTGCAAGTTACGTTTCATTAATGTCTTGTTTGATGTGAGTAAATAAGGTACAGCAGTATGAATGCACCTGCGATTAGCACGGTTGGCTATGTATGGTGCGAAAGAAGTTAAACATACATATATAAATCAGTATAACACATAGGCTTTCGCAACCAATATAATCCATAATTAGACGTTTTTGGGTTAGATCGTGTAAATATAAATGAGCGATGATGTTCACATACATTAATACCTTTCATGAGAATCTCCTCTGTTAAGTGCAGAACCAACTTGAATGTAATGGGTTTTTTCGTGCAGTCATTGACATGCAGGCTGAGACCGTAAACCTGCTACACTTGAGAATCCAGTTTAATCAAAAGTATCTGCCTGAATTCAAACCTAGACCATCAACGTTGCCAGCTCTGCACTCTGACCACTGAGCCACCTGACCACCTGAATGTCTTTTGTCTCCAGAGCGATGATGCTCACACACTGCACCAGGTGTAAATTTAAGGCCGAGTTGAGATATCACGTCCCTCTGAAGTTTCCCCATTGCCAGGCATCAAACCCAGGTCATTGTTGTCGCAGTGCAGTCAGAAAATCGCTACACCATAGCACTGAGGAGACAAGGGTGGCCGAGCATGTTCCTGGCCACACTACCACCTTGTGTACCATGCAGGCCTCTATACAGGGGATCCTTGACACACATATACAAGTGTTGTGTAATCACACCTGATTGCTGACAAAGTTTGAGTAGCAGGTGAATGGAGTAAGCAGCCAGAGAGGCCACAAGCACGAGTAACAAGCTGTGAAAAATAAGAACAAAAAACACATACTGGAAATCATGACAAGCACATAATTCAAGTTCCAATTTGAGGCGCACATTAAGGGGATACATGATGGGTTGAATAATATGGGCAGCAGAGGGCGGTGCGCCTAAAGCCATTGTTGTACTATACATCTTTGCTGCCGCATGAATGCTCCCCACCTTTACCAACCCGCACAGATCAGTGCGGTGAAGTACGGCCAAATAACACCCTCCCCCCCCCCCGACGACCCGCACGGCGTGGTGAGGCCCGCAGCGGAATGACAAAATGTCTATACACGTGCCAAATAAGCACAGAGCATTCGGTTTGGTCAGTGAATTATTGTACGTATCATCTGCCTTGTCCTCCTACTTGCTGAGCATGTACAGTCAAAGTGAAAACGTCTACATACGAGTTCCTTGTTTGCTTTGTTCATTGCTTCCTGGCTATCTCAGCTTAAAGTATTGCACTGCAGAGCACAATGCTGCAGTTTAAAAGAGCTACAGTGATTAATAGAAAACCTAGCGTATCGCATGCATGCCTGTATCAAATAATATCCTCTCTAATCCTTACAGTAATCCTAAAGAAATATCCATTAATGCTATTACGCGTAACACGTTTTAAGCGTGAGTCCCAATTTTGGAATCAACGCTAGTCAGAGCTTTGACCCAGATTATTGCTAGGGATCGGGTTATAGCATTCGTATTGACTCTAGGAAGCAACTATATCTTTTTCAAATGTGGATCAATGACTATGCAGACAAGGACAATACCTTAAACACCTCGGCACTAATATCTGAATTCCCCTATATCACAGTCTCAGCACTCGAAGCACAACATTGCAACGTGAAGTATTATAACCCAGATACGTGGGTTTTACGGTTAGAGCCAGGCGTGTAGATGCAGTACCAAGTAGTAGCCCAGTTACATTGATTAGGAATAGGGAAACATTTTGATTGGTAAATATCGTCAGAAGTATCCGAAGGACGAGAATCAGGTTGGTTGGTTTGTTAAGGTTATGGGTAGTGTGAGGAGTCTTGTTGACTAGGGTTAGGGTTAGACATTGGACTAGTATTTGGTTGAATGTTGTGGTTAGGATTCAGGGAGTGCGAGGCTCTGGATGGCTGGTGTGGTCAAGTTTAGAACTAGTAGCTGGATGGTTCGTGTATTTCGGACTTGGGATAGGGCTAGGCTCTGGCTGGCTCTAGTGTGGTTGCACTTAAGGGTCTGGCTAATTTCTGGGTAAACGGATTGTTCCTTTCTGGGATCCTTTTATCCAATATCAAGATGTTTGTTTGCATGTTTTGCCACAAGCATGTGAGGTTAATACAGACCTGATGCCTTGTGATAGGTGTCGAATTGGTGTTTGAACATCTTAAACCCTGTATTCTTGCCAGAAATGTTAAAGCCTATTTATTTTTTTGTTTGCTACTTTGTTTTACTTTTTGTTCGCCTTTCACTTTAGAGTTCAAAGTGCCACCTGCCAGCCCTTCTGGTCACACACAACATGCCAAAGATCCCCCTTACAGCCTTAACAGACTATTCGGGCAAGTGCTGTTAGTGAGGACCTATGCAGTAATTTATACATAATTAAGCCACTTTGTTGAGCTATTATTTATGGCCAGGTCGCTTATGAAAAATAAGTTAATACCTCAGTAGGCTTTGCCTGGTAAGATTAAAAAAAACTGTTATTTGTTTAGCGTTCCTATACTTTGCAATCATATCGTGTTTTGTAGTGTTTGTTGTTGTAACATTCTGACCCGCCCCTACTGGACATGTGAAAAAGAGCTTTATAGCTCGTTGGATTCTGGGTGGGTGACCAGTACTACGACCTCACGGAGACAAAGACACAACAATGCATGCACACCTGAAGAGCACGATGCCCGTCTGTGCCATGGCGTAGGCGAGACCCAGGATCCCGCTGCCCATGATGGCATGCGTGAGGTTAAAGACCGCCAGGCCAGACGACGAGCCCCTGCATCGCCGGCCATCTGCATTCCTGTGCTGGAAAACCGGCGAATCAACAACGGCAAGGGGTCCAAAATCATTTCCTTAATCCTTTGTTTCGCAGGTCGGCTCGCAAGTGATATAACAGCAATACGATGCACCATGGAATGGTAATCGTATCGTGAGATTTTAAAATATATATCGTTATATCGCTATTATCGTTACTTAATTTCCATCTCTCTTCAATGTGCAATTTGCCGGCAAAAATAATTGTTGCAACATTACAAACTCAATATTTAAATTTGTAAACAGCATGTCATTAAAGTATTGCTTTGTAAACATATTGTCGTGGTTTGTAATAGAATGGACGACATGATAATTATTAGACAAGACTCGTTGCAGGCTTATGTTGGGTGAACTGCAGTTGAACAACGTTTTAAAGTCATCTTTACTTGGACTGCAATTAGAGCCAAGCACGACAGGGGGATAAATAGAACAAAGGGGGGCGAGAGTGACCAACATTACCAGTGGGTCAACTTTACCAGGGGGTCATCATTACCAGTGAGTCAACATTACCAGTGCGTCAACTTCACCATGGCGGTCATCATTACCAGGAGGTCAACATTACCTGGGGGTCATCGTTACCAGTGGGTCAACGTTACCAGGGGGTCAACATTACCAGTGGGTCAACATTACCAGTGGGTCATCGTTACCAGTGGGTCAACATTACCAGGGGGTCAACATTACCAGTGGATCAACATTACCAGTGGGTCAACATTACCAGGGGGTCAACATTACCAGTGGGTCATCGTTACCAGTGGGTCATCGTTACCAGTGGGTCATCGTTACCAGTGGGACAACATTACCAGTGGGTCATCATTACCAGGGGATAATCATTACCAGTGGGTCAACATTACCAGAGGGTCATCATTACCAGTGGGTCATCGTTACCAGTGGGTCATCGTTACCAGTGGGTCAACATTACCAGGGGGTCAACATTACCAGGGGGTCAACATTACCAGGGGGTCAACATTACCAGGGGGTCAACATTACCTATGGGTCAACTTCACCAGGGGTCATCGTTACCAGGGGGTCAACAATACCAGTGGGTCATCGTTACCAGTGGGTCAACATTACCAGTGGGTCAACATTACCAGGGGGTCAACATTACCAGTGGGTCAACATTACCTGTGGGTCAACTTCACCAGGGGGTCATCGTTACCAGGGGGTCATCATTACCAGTGGGTCAACATCACCAGTGGGTCAACATCACCCGGGGGATCATCGTTTCCAGGGGGGGGCATCGTTACCAGTGGGTCATCGTTACCAGTGGGTCAACTTTACCAGGGGGTCATCGTTACCAGGGGATCAACATTACCAGTGGGTCAACATTACCAGTGGGTCAACATTACCTGGGTGTCAACATTACCAGTGGGTCAACATTACCAGTGGGTCAACATTACCAGTGGGTCAACGTTACCAGGGGGGGCATCGTTACCAGGGGATCAACGTTATCTGGGGGTCATCATTACCAGGGGGTAATCGTTACCTGGGGATCAACACAGATGACGTGAACCAGGGGAGGAAGATCTTCCACTCAATATTGAAGGCTTTAACCACCACCACGAGGGTCCGTGGGGTGGAATCATCGCACTTAGGGCTAGCTTATGAAGGAGCTCGGGGGGTGGGGGGGATGGTAAATATTATTCAGGGGGATCAAGAGGCTTCAGATCCCCTCTGAGCGAGGTCTCACCTCGTCGCTCGCCCTCGTCAGCAGAGGCCGCTCCTCCTCCACCTCCTCGCGGGACGTCGACGCGGTCCGTGCTGTCCACTTCGCGTCCGACCGCGTCCCCATCACCAACCGCTTCGCCGTCGCTCCGACTTCCAGCAAGAATAAGCGAGTCAAGGAGAGAACGAGGAGAGAACGAGGAGTTTTAAACTCAGCAGCCGCGGCGAAGGCGAACCCGGCGGGCCCAATGCGGAAGCGACAGCGGGGGGCTTTAAACTCCCACCGCGGGAGGGGGCGGGGGAACAGGGACACTGTCTCTACCAATCAGAGGCGGCGCTTGCCCGCCACGTGGGCCCGGTTTGTTTTCTAACCAAGGTAAATCGCAAACTGCGCAGAATTTCTAACGCGGCTGTTGAAACGCCGCGTTGCTGCACAGGGAAATTGCGTTTTCAGGTCCACGCGGCGTACAGCCGTTTCAATACGGGCTTTGTAGGATGAACGTTGAGACAAGGCCGTAATTATAATATATATTGGGAGGCACACCCCCCCCCCCAATATTCAAATATACTCAAAATGACCCCCCCCCCTTATATATTGCTATAAAATAGATTTATGTTTATATGATTGTGATTATGGTTGTACTTTATTAATTCCTAATCTCTGCCATTACATACAATGAAACAAGAAAAGGTAAAAAAGAAAAAAACAGAGCAATGTAATACAATACACTATTAGACATTATTGTAAAAAATAAATTAAAAGTCCATCCTATGTGTTGGTGAATTTTTTTATATTTTAGGCAGGAAATGGGAGGAAATTCTTTTCAGATTTAGATTTTATTTTTTTCCTGGGGGGGGGGACCCCCAGACCCCCTGGAAGATTTGGTCCCCCCAAATCTTGACTCCATGACTACTGCCTTGCGTTGAGATGTATAAGGGGCACGGGGTGACCAATAAGGTCTGAATTATAGACGCAGCGACTGGTAGACTCAATCACATAGAGACCCGTAGACTCACTCACACAGAGACTCATAGACTCACTCACACAGAGACTAATAGACTCACTCACGCAGAGCCTCATAGACTCACTCACACAGAGATTCATAGACTCACTCACACAGACTCAATCACACAGACTCATAGACTCACTCACACAGAGGCTAATAGACTCACTCACGCAGAGACTCATAGACTCAATCACACAGACTCATAGACTCAATCACACAGAGATTCATAGACTCAATCACACAGACTCATAGACTCACTCACACAGACCCATAGACTCACACACAGACTCATAGACTCAATCACACAGAGACTCATAGACTCACTCACACAGAGACTCATAGACTCACTCACACAGAGACCCATAGACTCAAGCACACAGAGACCCATAGACTCACTCACACAGAGACTCATAGACTCAATTACACAGACTCATAGACTCAATCACACAGGCTCATAGACTCACTCACACAGACTCATAGACTCAATCACACAGAGACCCATATACTCAATCACACAGAGATCCATAGACTTAATCACACAGAGACCCATAGACTCAATCACAGTGACCCATAGACTCACTCACACAGAGACTCATAGACTCAATTACACAGACTCATAGACTCAATCACACAGGCTCATAGACTCACTCACACAGACTCATAGACTCAATCACACAGAGACCCATATACTCAATCACACAGAGATCCATAGACTTAATCACACAGAGACCCATAGACTCAATCACACAGAGACCCATAGACTCAATCACACAGACTCATAGACTCACTCACACAGAGACTCATAGACTCAATCACACAGACTCACAGACTCAATCACACAGAGACCCATAGACTCACTCATGCAGAGACCCATAGACTCAATCACACAGAGACTCATAGACTCAATCACACAGAGACCCATAGACTCACTCATGCAGAGACCCATAGACTCAATCACACAGAGACTCATAGACTCAATCACACAGACTCATAGACTCAATCACACAGAGACCCATAGACTCACTCACGCAGAGACTCATAGACTCAATCACACAGACTCATAGACTCAATCACACAGATACCCATAGACTCACTCACACAGAGACCCATAGACTCAATCACACAGACTCATAGACTCAATCACACAGACTCATAGACTCACTCACACAGAGACTCATAGACTCAATCACACAAACTCATAGACTCAATCACACAGAGACCCATAGACTCACTCACACAGAGACTCATAGACTCAATCACACAGACTCATAGACTCAATCACACAGAGACCCATAGACCCACTCACACAGAGACCCATAGACTCACTCACACAGAGACCCATAGACTCAATCACACAGACTCATAGACTCACTCACACAGAGACTCATAGACTCAATCACACAGACTCATAGACTCAATCACACAGAGACCCATAGACTCACTCACACAGAGACTCATAGACTCAATCACACAGAGACCCACAGACTCACCCATACCTGTCCACCGATACGGTTTAACCCGTATTCTTGTCCAGGGGAATTTAGTTTTCAGGTACAATACGGGCAAAAAAAAACCATTTTGTCTATTTGTGTTTCTATTCTTGTGATGGGACTTTGTAGGATGAACGTTGAGATTTATAAAGGGGCACGTGGTGACCAATAAGATCTGAATTAGTCTGTAATAAGGTCGGGCACTGATAAGGGGCTGACAGGTATGTGAATACCAAGAGATGTACTATATATTTACACACACATTGCGATTATAAAATACTGATTAGAATTTGTGACAATTATGATGTAATAAGTGATGTATTTGGTGATGCTGCTGCTGCTGCGTTGGCAGTGGTGCAACAAGCACAGACAACAACAATCAACATTCCTCAACAGCACTGTTGGCCTCAAAAAGAACAATACATGGAGCATCCTCCCCCCTCATGAATAATCATGAGCAGGTGACGTCCTCCAAATGGACACCCCCCCCCAACTAATAATAATTAGCGGCTGACGTCACTCCACATGGGGGGCCGAGGCGCCTCCTCCCCCCTCCTCGGCATCAACTGACAACCCTCACTACAAAGGCAGAACCCTCACGTCACGAGATCTCCGTAACGCTGTTGAGACATCAAAGTAAAAAGGACGTCATGATGAACAAGGGATTATAACCTTAAAATGAAATAGGCCTGTGTCACCGCGCCATTACAAATTGCACACGTGTTTGTCGTGACGTTAATGGTGTCACTAGGGTGTTCGCGCCAGCTACTGGTCCAGTCGTGCAACTGTGCGTCTGGAGCCTCTCTCTAGCACCATGTCAGCCAGCCCGAGGGGACATAGTCCTGGTGATGGCCTGAGAGAGAGGGCAAGGGAGGACGTGGTAGCCTGAGTGGGGCACGTGATGCTCGGTCGAGATCCTTCGGGAAAGGTCTCGAAGGGGGCGTGGCCGAAGGCGGAGCGAGGCCACGCCCAGGAGCATCAAGGGGCAGTCCCCGGAGTGTTCTGGGCTCGTCTGTGGAATCAAGCCTGGGTCCCGCGTCTCGTCTTCTCCGGGTCTTCGTCTCACATAGTTAGCCATATCGCCTACTATAGAACCTGAGTTACGTTCAGTATTACCCGCTCGGGAAGTTGTTAAATAAAAGTGTTGCCTCCCAGTCCAGAGTGTGTGCAATAAATATCACGTCGCGGTCTGCTTTTCGCTTGCAAGTTTCAGAGTTGCTGCAATACACCCGTCCTTGAACGTAATGTTTCGGCCAATGGACCTTCTACATCGCGCATACATTCTTATAATAATTAGCATTGTTGCGGATAATATAAGAAACAAAAAACAAATAGAAAATTTGCCTCTTTCCCATATTTGTTTCTCCACATAAATATCTTTAAATCACACATCCCATCAGATACCACCTTCTAGGAGGGCATCTTATCAACATAAATTGTTCAATACAAGTGCAGTGTATATTCTTAGTTCTTTCGGTAAAGTCACGTTGAAGGGAAACAATAAAATAATAAAATATATATAACAATAAAAATTCTCACGAATTTAAATGCAAACCGACACACCTGATGACGACCGTTTGTGTTATGGTCGAAACGTAGTCATCGACTCATCTCAACGAGCTGTACACGATGCACCACTACGGTGCATACGAGCGTTCAGGGTTTCAGCGCAATCGTCCTAGCTGCGTTTCGACATAGCGGAGTAGCACTGATTTCGGAGTACCCCAGTCGCGGAGTTGAGTACACCCCTGGAAAAAATAGTGTCCCAGAAGTAAATATTTAATTGCCTCTGCCATTTTGTATTATTTGGTACCCCGGGGTACCGCCATAAGAATCAACTGTGGTAGACAGACAGTACACACGCCGGTGGGCGTGAGCACGGGTTTGCAAAGCGGAGGAACTAGGGCAAGGGTCACGGAGGACCCCATCTGGAGGCCCCTGGAACCTGCTATTGGGTTCGAGAAGGGAGGCGCGGTCAGGGAGGAGCCAGGCCGCGCTGGTCGTATAAAAGGAGCCTAGAGCGGGAGCTCGAGGCTGCCGGTTCTGGGAGTGGACTCATCTCGTCGTCACTGCCGTCTTCGCTAGATATTGCGCTGCTAGAAGTTGTTGGCTATCTCAGTCGGCACCGTCAGTGTTTGACGGCTACTGTTGTGTACAGGCTAGGCTAAGCGACTGTGGGGAGTGCATGGACTAGACCGTGGAAGTTGATAGAATAAAAGGCGCCTCCTACAAACCTTGCTTCCGTCTCACTGGCACTACACAAGCAAACTCTGGACCGTTGTCCACATGCAATGTCTCATCGGCAGCCATTCTTTTATCCGTCATATTTGGCCAGTGTTTGCCGATTGATGTTGTTAGGTCGATGTGTTCTTAATGCACCACTGCCAACGCAGTATGGCAACAATTGTTGGCCCATCACAAGAAATGATTCTGCCTGTCCTGCAAACATTTCACACGGCTCTGAGAAATTATACGCCTGAACATACTTCGCAATGCTGGTCAATACGGGCTGTTTGAAGATGGGGAGTTATAGATGGACATGGACACACACAAGTACAATATTGTACAATTGATTTTGCTGCACCGTCCTTTTCAGCCAACAACGAAGCCTGATAGCCCTGTAATAAACTGCTTGCGAATGGTGCTCATGCACCCATCCAAGCACCAACCAGGCTCAAACCTGCGTAGATCTCCAAATAATCATGGAACGTTGGCCCAACGTTAGTTCATCCACATGCCAAACTTGGCCCAACGTTGGCACGTTTACCAGGTTGAGAGATCTTACTTAGTAAGATAAAAACTATTTTTAATTCTCTTTGTATATTATTTTGTTACGACTCCAACGACAAAGTAAAAATAGGCACTTTTATTAAAGATCTCTACAATAAGGAACCCTACTATAGACTTCCACAATGAAGGATTCTAGGCTTCGTTCTTGTTTTCCTGTTTGTACAGTGAGGGAAAAAAGTATTTGATCCCCTGCTGATTTTGTACGTTTGCCCACTGACAAATAAATGATCAGTCTATAATTGTAATGGTAGGTTTATTTGAACAGTGAGAGACAGAATAACAACAACAAAATCCAGAAAAACGCATGCCAAAAATGTTATGAATTGATTTCCATTTTAATGAGGGAAATAAGTATTTGACCCCTCTGCAAAACATGACTTAGTACTTGGTGGCAAAACCCTTGTTGTCAACCACAGAGGTCAGACGCTTCTTCTAGTTGGCCACCAGGTTTGCACACATCTCAGGAGGGATTTTGTCCCACTCCTCTTTGCAGATATTCTCCAAGTCATTAAGGTTTCGAGGCTGACGTTTGGCAACTCAAACCTTCGGCTCCATCCACAGATTTTCTAAGGGATTAAGGTCTGGAGACTGGCTAGGCCACTCCAGGACCTTAATGCGCTTCTTCTTGAGCCACTCCTTTGTTGCCTTGGCCGTGTGTTTTGGGTCATTGTCATGCTGGAATACCCATCCACGACCCATTTTCAATGCCCTGGCTGAGGGAAGGAGGTTCTCACCCAAGATTTGACAGTACATGGCCCCGTCCATCGTCCCTTTGATGCGGTGAAGTTGTTCTGTCCCTTTATCAGAAAAACACCCCCAAACCATGTTTCCACCTCCATGTTTGACGGTGGGGATGGTGTTCTTGGGGTCATAGGCAGCATTCCTCCTCCTCCAAACACGGCGAGTTGAGTTGATGCCAAAGAGCTTTCACCCAGTTGTCCTCTGAATCATTCAGATGTTCATTGGCAAACTTCAGACGGGCATGTATATGTGCTTTCTTGAGCAGGGGGACCTTGCGGGCGCTGCAGAATTTCAGTCCTTCACGGCGTAGTGTGTTACCAATTGTTTTCTTGGTGACTATGGTCCCAGCTGCCTTGAGATCATTGACAAGATCCTCCCGTGTAGTTCTGGGCTGATTCCTCACCGTTCTCATGATCATTGCAACTCCACGAGGTGAGATCTTGCATGGAGCCCCAGGCTGAGGGAGATTGACAGTTCTTTTGTGTTTCTTCCATTTGCGAATAATCGCACCAACTGTTGTCACCTTCTCACCAAGCTGCTTGGCAATGGTCTTGTAGCCCATTCCAGCCTTGTGTAGGTCTACAATCTTGTCCCTGACATCCTTGGAGAGCTCTTTGGTCTTGGCCATGGTGGAGAGTTTGGAATCTGATTAATTGATTGCTTCTGTGGACAGGTGTCTTTTATACAGGTAACAAGCTGAGATTAGGAGCACTCCATTTCAGTGTGCTCCTAATCTCAGCTCGTTACCTATATAAAAGACACCTGGGAGCCAGAAATCTTTCTGATTAAGAGGGGGTCAAATACTTATTTCCCTCATTAAAATGCAAATCAATTTATAACATTTTTGACATGCGTTTTTCTGGATTTTCTTGTTGCTATTCTGTCTCTCACTGTTCAAATAAACCTACCATTAAAATTATAGACGGATCATTTCTTTGCCAGTGGGCAAACGTACAAAATCAGCAAGGGATCAAATACTTTTTTCCCCTCACTGTATCTACCTCCGAGCGTCCCCACTCCTCGTGCTCTCCCCTTATATATCCCTCAGCCCCTTTCTCGAACCTTGTCCTTGGTTTTACCTCTAGCAAATCCCTGTCCGTTCCCTTTAACGGATCCTTTCTGTTTTCCCATTCAACCCTTATTCTGCAATCTCTTTAAAAGTCTGCCTCCCGAACAATCACCGTGGAGGCCTCTTTCTTCCAATCGGAGATCTTTGTTTATTTTAAAATAGCCGTTAGGCTGCATATGGCTTAGGGTCATTTTTCGGTCATTACACTTTTAAGTGGTTTGTTTACCTTGAATATAATTTGGACTATCGTGTTTTTTTGTATTCTTTGTTGTTGTAATGTTCTGACCTGTGAAAAATAGCTTTACAGCTCATCGGATATCTCCAGTATAAATACATATTCTGATTAAGATAAAGGCTGGCGATCATATTACAAACAATAACATGGAAAGGGGCATCCCAGTAAAGTTCACCCATAACACTGCTTTTGCCGTCAGGTTTTGTAGTCATCAACATAAGACCAATATCACACATCATTGTCTAACCCTCGTACACGTTACATCTTGCCTTAATACACCACTGTCCCTCACCTTGTGTCAACTTGATCACACCAAGTACAAGCCGACCTCTATCCTAATGCACAATCCATCAGTTGTCTGTCAAGACACCAAGCAGGGGTCAACTTGGACCAATTAATCTTAGGCCTTTTTTGTTCTCTCACTTTACCTAATAAACTCAGCGGGGCAGGTCCCTCGGATGCGTCTCACTGCTGCTGCTGCTGCTGCCACCGATAACCTGACTTGAACCGGCTGAAATAGACCTGTGCTCATCAAGTCAAACACGCTTCGTTAACTGCAGGAAAAGGTAATGAAAACGAAAGGTACAGCACTGGAATTGCTTTCTCATTCCACTACCCGACTGAGGGGCCACAACTAGAGTGCGAGAGAACCCCTCGGGGTACTGAATTTTGACCGATACTTCCACATCAGCCAGACATCTTGGAGGTTGAAAGTATCCACGGACACTTTACCCCACCACACACAGCCTTCCAATCGACTGCGGTGTACCTATTTACACTGCTGGGTGGACAGAGGCAGGAGGATTTAAGAAACGTGCCCCAATGTTTCAATAGTGAACGGGCGACTTCGGAATTGCTGGTCAAGCGTGCCAACCATTACTTCAAGGGCAGCATCCGTTAACCGCAGGGTTTGGTGAAAATTGATCTCTTTGGAAGATAACGTCCCATGCAATTCCTAGAAGGCTGTGGGCCATTGGGTTGTGGAAAGAAGTGAAACTTTTTATGTCGAGACTGTCTGCTTATATATTATTCCAATCAGCGACGATTACATTTCTTTAAATTAATCTTAGGGTGTCATTATGAAGAGGCTCAATCTGATTATTTAACAAAATTAATTTGCATGTTTTTTTTATTTGTGGGTTTTTGCCTGCACTCAAATCAACTCGTGTGCAGATGCTAAAAGGGCCATTACATCACAACGCCGAGATGGTGAGAGCGGAGGGAGACCTTCATACAGCAATGGATTGATTTTGGCTCATGAAGATGAATTTCGAAGATACTTCATTTGTCTGAGTCAATCACAGCACTTAAGTTTTTTTTTTATTTCGTCGATAAAGGATTCGATAAGATTTAAAGGAATTACTGTATTGCGATTTATGACAAGCTATGCGCAACATATAAACTATAACCTAGGTTAAATTATTAGAAGAGTTTTGTGCAGGTCTTAAGACTTAATTAACATTCGGTAAAAGGCAAATTTGATTCTTGCTGATGTGCGGTGGAAATGCCATTCCTATGCTGGGGGACAGTATTTTTGTCGACTTCCCTAAAAAGTGGTACTCATGAAGGGCCGAGTTGAACAATCTTACAATTAGGAACAACACATTGTACCGGTGGGCCAGCCAGCCAGCCAGTGTTATTATTATAACGCAAAGCCTTAGAATGGGTTTCATGAAAAGGTGAAAAATGAACGCCAAACACAATTAGAACAGCGGCATAAGGAATAAATTTGAATGTTTATTTTTTTACACCAATTGCATACCTCCAAACACTACTGCGATAGTGAAGAGTTAACGTGAGCGTGGACATGAAAAGGTGAATACCGCGTCTGTTACTCACAAACTGAACGTAAAACGATAAACACTTCCTTCTTACCGTATAAACAAAGAGCAGCAAATACACGTGTGGGCATGTGGTTACAGGACTAATTAACACCGTTGAGGTGCAATACATCATGTGCGTGAACACTTTTTTTCAGGGTGACGAATGCAAAAAAACGAAAAGCTCTCGTACCGCAAAGCGTACCACGTCAACGTATTTGTCGTTTTATTTAAAAGTGAAAATGTGACCAGTACAAATCAACTACACTCGAATGGCCACCTTTGTGTAACAACTTTATGCGACTTACGCCACAACTGCAGTTCATTTTGGAAATTTACAGTAATAACAATAACATTATAAAACATGATTATACAGGATTTATCAGTTTAACGCATTATTGCCTTTACCATTTTTTTGGCATATACAGTAATAGTAATCGTGCACTATAGCATGCCTCTTCTCATACAAAAAGTTTATTTTTCAAACAGTGGCCATGTAGAAGGCCGGATTATACAAAGCATAAGTTAACGATGCACCTGACGAGGCATACGCAAGTAAACTGTACACATACAAGTTACCAAAAACGATTTGGGGAAGAATAATCAGATAGACCCACTGTTTACAGTGTGTACTTAACTGCCGTACAAGCTTATATATATCTCAAGGAAATCAAAAAAGTATTTACAAACGAACATGGCTTGCTGTTCCAGGAAATAATACAAATTAAGACTTTGCTAAGCATAATCTTGCTGTTGTGGTCTCCTATTACAGGGTACTCGAATGAGTTAATTGTAAGCAACAGAAGTTTGACTTTATACTGCTTTAGTGTTGCATATACTCTGGCGTTCAATTGGCAAGTTCATTTATTCAAAACATTTCATCCGAGAGGTGCAACCACCATGCATTGTGCTGTAAAGGTAGTCTGAAAACACTGCTAACTCATCTGCCATCTATCCAGGCTCAACCCGAAACACTGAATCCCACACTTTTAAGTCGCTCAGTAAATAGTGAAAAATGGAAAGACGGTATTTTGTATGCCTCGCTCTGCCCATCAACTCGCAATGTGTTTTGGCGCTGCGTGCGCTCGAATGTGCAAAACATCAAAGGGGAAATAAGGTTCCGTCGCTCCATCTGTTCGTCCATTAAAAAACGGTACCATTCGGACATTAAAAAAAAAAAAACGACGCCATGATCATCACCATCAGAGTTTGTTTCCGGACATTTTCTTCTCCAGCATGCTCATCAGCATGTTGGAGTAGTGCTCCAGGAGGGCGCTGGTCTTGTCTTCACCGGGCGAGGAGGACGCGTCGTCCGGCAGTAGAGGACCGTCGCCGTCGCCGTCCACGCCACGCGCGCATGACACGTCGTCATTGGCGTCGTTGCTTCGGCCGCCACCACTGGCGTTCGCCTCACTCCGGTCCAGCGTGCTAAGCTGTGCCCGCGCTCCATCGAATGCATCAGCGAGTACCGATGCCAGGTGTTTGCTGCCCACCGGCGTCTCGCTTGACTGGATCTAGACGAACGAGGCGAGATGCGGAACGATTGAATCCCGTGCCAGCATGTCATTTATTTGTCAAGATTTTAGATCATTTTGTTGTTACTTTTTCCCCCCCTGCCACCCCCTCCCACCCCCCCCAATTTGCATTCCAATCGGAGTGTCGGCATCACGTGACGAGATGAACACATTCACGATTCGACACCTGCAGCTAGCAGAGTGCATCAACCTGTGACAGAGAATGGTCCCAGAAGAGGTCGCACAACAATGACCACAATGTACAATAATGTATGATCTAAAAGAATCGTGACCTAAAATTGTTGCTATCCATTGAATTGTGAGAGAGGTGAATCGTTGCAGGCTTACTGGCCTTGCATTTTTATTATTTACATTACCATTATTTGTCTTCAGGGAGCTGCTGTCTCCAATATACTGGGCCTTCGTCATGCAGGACTGCCATTTTCCAATGCAAAATCATTGCACATTATTAAATATTTATAATTCACCCCTCTGCTGTGTTTTCAGGTTGAACCACAAATTAATTTGGCACGATATCTGACATCTCGCTTCACTTGTGGAATTCAGTTCCTGAAGAATCTCCCAGCACGTCAGGCAAAACTTCGGATATCACAGGGAGCAACACATGGTACAACTCGAAAACGCATCAGAGCGATATATATAAGCACGAAAAGCCATGCAGTAGTATCACAATTCACCTTGTGGTAAAGCAAGATGGCTTTCTGTAAGCTCTGAAGTAGGTCATTGGCTGCCTCTTCACAATTTTCCGCATTCACCACCAGTTCTGTAAAAAAACAATGTTTAAAATCAAGCAGGGATTAATAATGCCGATTCTACGTGACTCGCGCACACACACACACACTTCCATCCTCAAAACGTCACATTGATTTAAATGTTGGAAAGACCACATAAAACCTCAGGAACATCAGGAGAGACACTTAGAGGAGACACGAGTTGAGAGAACCCACCACCAAGTGATCCAGTGTGGTGTGCATACCTGCCAAGGCCACTCGCAATGTAAACGAGCCAATTAAAAACCGCTCCTTAAAATCCCGCACGGAAATAAACAAATCACACAATCTGGTTATCCAGTACAAGCCTTTGTCAATCCACTGTTGGATGAAGGCCTCCCCACATCGTGTTGGTTGTGGTGGTTTATTTGACCTTACTTCAACCACATTGGTCAATGCGGGTTGGTGAATGGGAGAAGCCCAGGAGCGGTTCAGATATCACATGCCACTAATGTTAGCTGCAGCAGACATCAAACTCAAGTTTCTGGGTTCATAGCGTAGTGCATTAACCACTGCAGAAGTGCAGAGAAGTCCTTGATGCAGTTGCGATGTGACAACACCTGGCAGGTATGCGTTGATCAACACGAGAAGAAAAAAAACAGAACTAGGATAATTAAAACAAGAAGTCTACAGAGAAAAGTTGCACCAGCACTACAGGCGGGGAAACATCCTAAAATCAATCACCAAACAGGGCAAGCGCACTACAAGCGAAGCTGCTGGGGCACGCAGAGGTGCTGAATGTTCAGTGCGGTGGAGCCATTGGGCTTAGCTTCCAGCCACCGAACATCCAGCGACGCTGCTAACGTCTACGCGTGATTTAGGGTGTGGAAGATCACAAGTATAGAGACCATCGTGCGCAGATCACCAAGAGTTGCGACAAACAGTGATCGCTCAACAGCAAACCTTTGTATGATTTTAGAAGCTTCTCACGTCCAGATTTTGGCTTGAGGCTGTCATGGCTCTCGGGCACAGGGTCCCTTCTGGCCATATTCCCAAGCCAAGAACGGTCCTTGGTGTCCAAGTCTAGTTTTGACAGGTCGGCGGCAGCCAAAGCCTTCGCCGCGTCGAGCCGATGGAATTCCGCATTTGCTCGAGGGCCCACGGGCAAAGCCTTGCGTGAAGGCTCCACGTACGGGAACTCCTCCATGACCTCTGTAACTTGCACCACCGAGTTTGATGCGGGGTTGATGTGGGACGAGAGCGGCTTCGAGAGCTCCAGGATCAGGCTCGTCCTGTACGCCGTGCGGACCGTGGACTGCGAAGCCACAGTGGAGGGAGCAACCGGTGCAGATTTCATCGACGACGGCGCGAACTTGGACATTGCCGGTGACTTGAAGGCCGACCCCGGCGCCGGCCTGGAAGGGTGATACGACCTCCGCGGTGTAGGCCTCTTCAAACCCGGGTCTCTCACGGGGTAGAGATCTTCACTCACTGAGCTGTTCTCCCCGTCGTCGTCGGAGCCACCAAAGTTTTTGCAGTTAAGGCCGTCACCCATGGACACGCTTCGGGTCATGCGGCTGTTGGCGAGGGATGAAGCGGGGCTGGGCGAGGGGCTCGCGGCAGCCTTCTTCCTTGCGATCTGCCGCTTTGCCGGGCTGACGATGGCTCGCGGCTCTGGTTTTGGCGGAAGGGCCGGTTGTGATCGCTTGGGCTCGACAGCACGAGACTCGCGAGCTCCTATCACTGAGCGTGTTTGGGGCTTTGCTGTGCCGGCATGCAATGAGTACTTCTCTGTTGAGTATAAAAACAATAAGGGGATGCATGTTTTTTGTCGCATGTGAGAATAAAGCAGAGCACTAGGTTATGCAATATGTCTATATATAGCGTGAATATTTAGCTGTCAATGTCACAGAATTTTAAAATGACTCGTGGTTTTCCACTGAAAGTGTCACAACTACAATATATGATTAAAAGAACAATGAGCTACAATTTAATACAGATCAGCAAATGTGTATATATGTTCAATCCTCTAACACACTTCAATTATTTTATAATAGTTTCAGGGAAGGCAGGAATATTAAAAAAAAAATCACACGATTCACACAATTAGAAAATGATTTCAATGAAATTGTAATCAAAAACAATACGCAGAAAAGCATTAATCTTTCTACATTGCTACGCATAACCTACGTTAAAATGCTGTTATTAAGATCATCAACTATAATTACGCACGGTTTAAATAGCAGATGCGAGGTTTCCCCCCCCTCCCCCGGTCTGCAGACGCCCCCCTTCTCAAATGACAATCGCATCCAGAAACACGTTACACAGCAGCTTGTCTTTAATGAACAATTCGCCTCATTATGAAAATATACTACCATGAATATCCTCCATAGAGCCTTTCACAGACTGTTAGGGCAAGTGCTGTTAGCTAACACCTACTAAAGCACACAAGGCACATGAAGGGGTAAAGTGGGCTAGCACCACGCTCGGCCACATTTGTCTCCCCAGTGCTGATGTTTACACACCACACTAGGTAGTCATTTAAGGCTGAGTTAACCTGGGGGAGGCCCGGGACCGGTTCAGATATTTGTCACCTACATTGGCTGTGAACGGAAGCCAAACTTGGGTCTGTTTGTAGAGGACTACACTAACTACTACATTACCACTCCCCACACACAATCAACACCCATGGCAATTACAAGTGCCAAATTTCCAGAAAGACAATAATCATATATATACACATTACTACAGTCTAACTAGATCACACAATGCTTAAAGAAAAACAAAAACACAAAACTGAAGACAAATGACAACGGAGATGATGATCAATCAATAACATCACAGCTCACTCGTCGACTTCACTCAACTCAAATCATCGACACGGGCTGATCGTCACAGAAGAACCGCTCTGCGACAGACCAACTTCTGGCCGTTCTTCTACACTTGCCACACAGCCCAGGAGACGCCACCGCAGAAACCAAAAGTTTACACAGGACAGCAGCAGCAGCAGCTATATGCAGCAGATTCACCCCGGAAGAGCGACAGGATGAAGAGGCCACGGAGCAGCGAGCGTTTAGTGCCAGGCGATCGGTTGCGACGCCCCTCCTTACCTTCTTGAGCGAGGTCATACATGGAGGCGGCCTTCCTCATCGCGGATGAGGTCGGCGTCCCGTCTGACGGACGCCCCGAGCCGGGCAGGCCCGGAGTGCGGCGCCGGTCGGCCGCACCGCTTGCCGCGGGGCTCCGGCTGCTTGCAGCCGGTGCCTGTGGGCCCCTGGGGGTGGCGGCCCTGTCCACCACGCCCGACGTGCGCCGTTCCCCTGGCCTCGACTTCACAGGAAACTGGGAGAAATTGATGAAAGCAGCATCGGCAATGATCGGATCGTTGAAAAGGAAGATGCGACACGGATTACACGACTGCTCTCTTCATCCCTCATCTATTACACCTTCACTAGTGCTAGTTGTTGGTGGCCGCTTGGTGTTTTGGGCCTTTGGGCCTGTGCTCAACAATGGTGATTAAAACAAAAATGTATCGGCCATGATCAATCCACTGCTGGAAGAAGGCCTCTCAAAGCCATTGCCATATCTCGCAATCCTGCGATCTAGCAATGAATATCACCTTTCGATGTACAAGCTGCTCCTGCTGAGTATGATTACAAGAGGATGAGCAGCGTATGGTTCAGTAATACCCCAGTTTACATCAGGGATGGATTTCTGAAAGGTGCGCTCAATTTCAAAACAATGTAAATCAAAGCAATTTTTCCACGAGAGCTAAACAAAGACAACGGAGGTTGTATGGTGACGCTGTGTTAATGTGCACATCGTCATCCTAGATGTAACCACAACATAACAATAATTTACTAAAAATAGTGTAAACACTCGTGTACAGCAGTGCAACTTTAACACAAATTATACAGGGGTACAATAAGATACAATACACTATAAAAATAATCAACATACTGCACAAACAATATATTGCACTAATCTAGAATTGAAGCTTTTGTGACTGCAGGAATTACTGTACTCATTGAGTACAATATATTAAACCATCATATTAAATTAGTTTTTTCACCAAATAATAATTTTCAACCCTTTGTTGATCAATTGCTCCATGCCATGTTCGTTGTGAGGATTGTTTGACCATACTTTACAGCAATCTTGTTAGTGCAATAAAATTTCCCGCTTTTAAGGATTTATAATTTTCGTTAAACTGTAATAATGTGATAAACCTCTGTAGCAAGTCATGTAAGAAGGTGCAGTGCCCTCTAGTGTGGATATGAGATCACTCGACAGAACCTCAGCAGTAGTTCTCTGATATCTCCTTCCACAGGCCAGTCTCTAATGCGGGGCAAGATGCACTGCTATGTCAATATTCCAAATGAATATTTCTCCGTCTCATGAAGTGGACAATATATTGTACTCTATAGTATAGTACATTTATTAATGCGCGACACAACGTGGTTCGTGTACAGGGTAGCTGGAGGCAAAAGGCAAGTGTGTTTTAAGGCGACGCAAATCAGGCAGCGGTATTAATAAAGTGATGACGTGTTTGCAAAACGAGCTTAAAGGGGGAGACGTAAATCGGGGTTTTTATTGTAGAAGGCTTTTCCCAACATGCTTCCATTGCTAATAATGGCATGCATAGCAATACCTCATGAATGAAGCTTCTAACTCTTGAGACAGCCCAGGATGAACAGCCTTTGTAGGTAATTACAAGCGCTAATTGTGCTTTGGGTGGGATCTCCGTTTAAACAAATGTAGGCACGCTTAATTCGAAACAAAAGTCTGATGTTTACGATTGGGAGTCTCCAACGCTCCCTTGCCGATGTTTGCCAGTGCACCGCATAAGTTAATTTCCTTAGCGATGGATTTTCATGCCATTCTAAATAAAGCCATTTGTCAATTCGATCGATTAAATAAATGAGAAATGACCAACTCAGTTACCGCAGTCTGACATCATGCTTATTGTTAATGCGGATTATCGACTCATCGGCAATCAGTGATCTTATATTACCTCTAAACCCCATAATTACCATCGGGAGATATTATAATAAACTGCAATTAAGTGCTAGGTTGTCTAGTTCCACAGAATGGATTGGGGGATTTAATTGAAGCATATGTGCAACAATAACAGGTGGCCAGGTGGGTCAAAATCTGCTAAGACTGCACCACTCATATCCTGGCTTCAAATAATCTAAGTTCAACTAGTGGTGATTAAAGTGGGTTCTCAAATGTAATATGATGGTCACCAATGACCATCATATTAAATTAGTTTTTTCACCAAATAATAATTTTCAATCCTTTGTTGATCAATTGCTCCATGCCATGTTCGTTGTAAGGGTTGTTTGACCATACTTTACAGCACGCTTATTAGTGCAATCAAATTTCCTGCTTTTAAGGATTTATAATTTTCGTTAAACTGTAATAATGTGATAAACCTCTGTAGCAAGTCATGTAAGAAGGTGGAGTGCCCTCTAGTGTGGATATGAGATCACTCGACAGAACCTCAGCAGTAGTTCTCTGAAATCTCCTTCCACAGGCCAGTCTCTAATGCGGGGCAAGATGCACTGCTATGTCAATATTCCAAATGAATATTTCTCCGTCTCATGAAGTGGACAGCAAAATTCGGATTTGAATTTGGGAAAATTACTTTTTTGTTTAAATACAGGACCATGCGAGACGGCAATTGCTTGGGGGGGCCTTCATCCGCCAGTGAATGAATCGGTATGATAAAGGTAGCTATGCACGCCTCTAAGCCAGCACTGTGAAGGCGAGGGGGCTAGCGGATTAAACAAATGTTGTAAAACTCCCTTCCCATGGCTGTCAAGGAACAGCCTTACTCTAGCTTACCAGGAGATGGTGGTATGGCAAAGTGAGGATGAATATCACCTGTCCCCCATCTATATGGGAGTGTGTTGCCCCCTCATGCACGTGGGTTTTCTCCAGGTGCTTTGGTTTCCTCCCACACTACTTATATACACTCATCAATTTGCTGAAAACATGAGTCCATACGTGCCCCCGTGATTTGTGGCTTGTGCAATTTAATACGTAGGCTTTCGTGACCAATATCATCCACTATAGGTTTTTTAAGGGTTAGATCGCATAATTACACGATCTAACCCAAAAAAAAACCTATATTATGGATTGTACGATGAAGTTTGCGTGAACGATACTACGAAATAAAATAAAAACACTTGTCATTATGATCAACTTACTTCGACGGGCTTCCTTGTGGGAGCTTTGTCCTTTTGTGGAAGTGTAGTTGTGGTGATCGAGTTTGCTGGGCTTGACGGTGAACTCCTTAAGAGTCGGGGGAAAATGAAACCACCAGACACACACACAGAAACAAAAGTTAAGTGCCACAAGCCTCCAAAAGGCATCGCTATATTTAAAAAAACACATTGAGGCCAGGAGACGTGTAATGGTTCTAGGTTGGTAATGAGTTTCAACTGACAAACAGTATAAACAAGATGATACATTTAATTGTTCACTGTCTGTCAGTTCAAAGTGGCGAGTCTGTAGATCACGACAAGACGACATTCGATGCTGGTTTTCCACAGGTGCATCCAAGCTGAGCCGGCCAGTGTGATGATACATCTTGTTCATACCATCTCCTATGTATTTCCCCCTATGTATTTCCCATATGGTTTGCTCCACTTTTATTTCGTCTCATTCACATTGCCCGAATCTCGGAGGCTCGATTCGACGGATGTATCATGAACTTAAGAATCGATGTTAAATCTATGCTTTGTGACACTCCCCAATAATCAGTGGTTATTCAGCATCATCCCCATCTATGAAATTATCTATGTAATTATCTGTGTGAAGTTCAACTGCAAATTCAATATTTGCAAATACAACCTGTTAAGATACTGTGCACAGGTTTCACTGACTTTCAAATGTACAATATTTATTTAAAATATTAAAGTCATTAGTTATGCCAGAATTAATTACAGCAATGTGCTAAAACACCTTAACTTTCTCAACAACTGCTTGGAATAAAAATACGTCAGATATTTTTACTGTCACTGCATCTTGGGTTATTATTCCCAACTTGAGTAAACGGCCAACACACAAACGCATCACCCTCGGGATGTCCCCGTTTTTAATTCATAGCTGCTAACCAGAGGATTAATACGCCAAGCAGCCAGCAACAAAGAGCACGCTTGGTAAAACACAACTTCGAAAAAGAGACAAATGAAGGGAATTTTTAAGTTGAGCAGCAGGAATGGAGACAAAGGCAGAGTGTCGTGGAAAATCTGACAAAATGGAACATTTGTCAAGAAGAGTATGGCCCATCGTATAGTGTCATAATAGAAATTCCATGAGTCAAATATTTAACCGGAAAAGCCTCACTAAATGTCAGGACATGGTAAGGTGTCCAAGGTCTGATGACCTTTTGGTGATCACGGTGTTTGCTCATGACAGCCTCGCAAAGTTTCACAACTCAACTATAGAATGGATACAACCTCGCAGGTTTGGACAATCCCTTTCTGCGTGAATGTTTTCGCATGCAAAATCAGTCACAGCCTGTTTGATACAGCACAGAGGCTGTAAAGCCAGATTAGATGCTCGTTGCAATTTCAGACATTTTTCTCAGCCACAATTGGACCCACGAGGTGCTGAAATTGCCACTGCCGCAAAACAATTTCAGTAGGAATTATATTACTCGTCGATTAATAACAAGTGTTATGCAAATTGTGGATGCTGTTCAGGTGTAGTGATTAGCACTGGGCTCGTAATCAAGAGGTCGATGGTTTGAGCAATTAACACAGCAGCTAAAACAATGGTGGGCAAGTTTCTTAAATCCCTGCAAATCGGTCCACCGGGCAGATCGCGTGCAGTGGGGATAATGAGCGGGTGCTCATCTCTTCCAAACGTATCGCCAGTGTGGAAGAGTAAATCAAAATACCCTCTAAAGAAACTCCCTAAAGTTCCTTCGAGCGAAGGCCATTCCGCCAATAGAGTTGCAACCTGACCACCCCAATGACCCTGAACCCATTACACATCATCGCAATGCGCAGAGGGTAAAACCATCGGCACCAGCACCGACACGAACCTGCTGGGCGAGCTGCGGACATTGTTGCGGAACTTGGTGGTGATGCTGTGCCGCGGCGTGCCCACCCCTGCCGCCGCCGCGGCCATCGTCGTCTCACCCCCGGACCTCGGAGGGCCCCGGGAGCTGCTGGTCTCGGCGGAGAGTGGAGTGTCGGCACCAGAGTCACCAAAGTACTTGTGGTAGCGATCATGGTCGGGCGTGACGGGAGAGAGGTCGGAGTGCGTGCTACGTGTCGGCTCCTCGTCGTCGTCCTCTGACGAGTTCCCGTCGCATATCAGTGACGAGTCTGTAGATGACAACGAGAAGACGACATTCGATGCTGCTTTTCCACTTGTGCATCCAAGCTGAGCCAGTGTGGGGCCCTCACGGTACGCGTGGTTTTACATTGGCTTTTTGGCATGCCAAGGCAGAACCAAACTGTGATAAGCTGGCCTCACGAGACATCTGAATATGGCGTGGGGCCACGCAGGACCAGGGGCTAGGCTAATGACACATTCATTGCGTGTGACGTTAACGGCACAGCTCGGCTTCTGCAAAAAAAAAACATCTTTGGTAATCGGCCAATCATGTGTAACTTTCTTCAATTAAACTCTCAATCTCAGTAGCCATTATTTCATCCCTCGAACCTCCTCCACTGTGGTTGATGGTGTTATAAGGTGCAGGGTTTAGCGGCTGTGGGCCACATCACAAGTCACTCACCATCGAGTCTACGGCGTGGGCTAAACGCTGGGCTGTTGGCGTAGCAGGCGCTGTCCGGGCTGCGTGCGTCATGCCCACCAGCCCGCCGGTGTGCAGCCATAACCAGCTGGTCCTTGGGAGCCTCCTTCACCAAGAATTCGCTGCACACAAAGACACAGAACCCCCCCCCCCCCTTTATACTTATAGACTGTTCGGGCGAGTGCTGCTAGCGAACACCTTTGAAAGTCTGACAACACCACCCGGCATGCTGTTTTGCTTCCACAATACGAATGCTTACATAGTGCGCAAGATAAAAAATGTAAGGCTGAGTTCCACCTCGAGTAAACCAAAAAAGAGTTTAGATATTGCTTTCCACTACTTTTTTTCTCCCCGGTGCTCATGTTTTGCACCACACCAGGTACTCATTTAAGGCCGAATAATGGTCGTGAGTGGGAATCGAACGCGGCTCAGCGGGTTTGTAGTGCAGCGTGTTAACCATCACACTGCGGCTCCCTTCTCGACGCCTGATAAAAAAAAACATTTCAGTTGTAAAATAACATTGCAATCTGTATGCATGTATTCAGATGTTAATTCATCGGCTCGCAGCAACTTTGACAATATACTCTGTTAATCACTGTTTACCCAGTTTGTGTGTTGCCACGCGACAATGGACTTGACTGGATGGCGGTCAGAGGCAAAAAATGTGCTCGCATTGTTAATCATTCAAAGCGGAGGACACACTCAGTCGCTCGTGATGATCGCTCGCCTTTCAAAATTCATCACCAACGGTGAGACAATTGACTGTTACCCTCTGGGCACAGAGGCTGTCGAATAAAGCTGAGCCAAGCAAGACTTAAAGCTCCTAACCTCAAAAGCAGGCCTCACTCAGCAGCTGTGAGGTTCTTGGGGGGAATCTGTCTGCTGTGCTGGTCTGGCAGGGTTCTTGTAATGGTAAAATCCATGTGTTATTGCTGCCACCTCCTGGGATGGGACTTCTGAGCTCAGGTGAGGTGCATAGGGATCCTCCCAGGTATGGTCCTTTGCACACCTTCGTGCTCATTCCCTGTACTTTCTCCGATGCTTGTTCGCTCGAGAGTTTACTGCCTGGAATGCTCTTCCTTTCCGATATTAGAAAGCCACTGGAGCTATGCACTTTTAAATCTATACTGAAAACTCATTTCTTTAAAAGTGATTTTTGTGTATGGTTTGTTGTCCTTCCCATGCACCTCCGATTAGCATGCTTGGCTAGGTTTGGTGCGAAAATTCAACATACATACGTAAAAGTTAATGTTGCGTTTATCCCTGTACCGCTCGTCCTGTTCGTATGGTTTCTCTGTGGTGCTCACGCGAGTTTGTGTTGCGTTTACTCCCGTGCCCTTGATCCTGTTCAATCTGTATCCCTCTGGTGATGTTCTTCAAATTTTTGTATGTTAATGTGGTACCGCAATGTTCTGCTTTTTGAGATGCAAGTTGCATGAATAATGCTATTTAAAATTCATATCATTTACTATAACATTAGAAAAACCACCACCTAAGCAGGAGCAGCAAAAACACCACGACTACCATTACCATCATCGTCAGCAAGAGAAAGACCACCATCACAACTACCACAACTTATCATCACTATCGTCATCTGAAGCAACAGCAACAGGACCATCATCATCATCAAACACATCGGTAGAAACGCCATCATTATCAGCAGCAGTGGCATCAGCAGGGGCTCTATTAGCAGGACCACCATCAGCATCTTAAATTGTTGCCATGATCACAATAGTTATTATCATGATCATTGTCAAAACCACCACCACAATTAATGTCATCATCAAAAGCAGTAAAAGGTCGTCATCACCACCACCAATCAACCATCAGCATCGCCAACACTGTGCACTTCAGTTGGAGGTTGTTGTTTGAAGCGGACTGGGACCCTTAAAAGAATGGCGCCATCCGTGGTCGCCCCTGTGATTTACGGATCAAACAAATGACTCGAGACACCGCTATGGCAGCAAGAGCAATTTATGCAAATGCTGTCGCAAGAAGTCACGCGTTTGGCGCAACGGTCCTTCGCTGACTATTCCCGATGCATGAATCACCAAAATCATCATCGTCATCATGAGCACCCCACCTTTCGGAGGCGATGGAGACGTCGTCGCCTTGTGCCGGGTAGAGGATCTCGGGCTCCACGTCCGGCGTGATGCCCTGTGTCGCACCCGGCTCGGGGTGCGGTGCTAGCAGCGCCAGCGAGCTCGGCCGCTCGCACCGCTCGGCGGCGCGCGGCTCCGAGTGCGACACCTTCATCTGCCACCGCACACACAGGCGCGAGGGCAAAAACGCAGCGACGGTGAACCGCCGGGCACTTGACCGCCGCGCGTCAACAGCAGCAGAACCGCAGTCGACATTATGATGATGAACATCGGATAGGTCGCCCAGGCACAAAAACGGCGACGGTAAACCACCAAACAACAACAACAACAACCACGATGCCCAACGACTAGAGCTGCAAGAACCATGACCAGGCCAATGAAACGACTCCTATTTCAGTTGTGCGTTATATCAGCTATTGTATCGCTGAGGTCAAGACAATAAAAGCGAAAACTCTGCGTTTCAATGAGGTGCATGTGTTTTCTGTTGTTTGGCACGATGTCCGACTTTCCCCTCCACGTTCCAGGAAATGAATTTAGCTCCTGCGCTGGGAACTTTTTCAGAAACTTCATTCACCTCCTGAAGAAGCAGTCAGCAAGTGAAGTGAAACGTCAGGCATCATGCCGTATATTGCGCGGTACAACCCGAAAAAACACATCAGAGAGCTGCACGGCAGCACAACCATGGCAACACATGTAATGGCAACACAGTACATTATTTAACAAACGAAAAGAACACTTACTTCGAAAATGCAGCCACTACTGATAAAGTTTCTTCGCCGGGCTTCACGAGACACCAGACCTCGTCTGCAATGTGGCGATAAAGCCTTGCCGTCTCGCGGCTCGGCGAGTTATAAAAGGGCTTTATTCCAAGCAAATCATGTTTCGCGCCAATGCACAGGCTCCTCTGATAATGAGCGGGCACGGTGGGGCCCGGTTGCTCGGCGATGGAACAACGCGGCAAAGGGCTTTGGAATGCCGGCCTTTCACACGTCTTCCCTCAGCCCGACCTCCCCTCTCCCTCCCCTACCCCCATCCCCATCCCCACCTCTTTCCCTGCGACGAGAAGATTCAAAAGCCCAGCTCCCTGTCGTTGCTCCCGGCAACCCGCAATACAAAACCTCGCGAGCGTATTTCCCGCCCAAGTTAATTCGTCGCTCCAAATCTCGCTCGACCCCGTATCGGCACAAACGGCGTACAGCCAACACCACACAAATTAAGGGCCCAACTTTTTCTGGAATTACAAAATAAATGTTTGGCGGAAAAATTGAGCGACGACCTTGCTTTCTTTCATTGCAATATATACACACACACAAAGCTCACAACGCAAAACCACAGCAATTCAACAGACAACTTCTACACGTCAAACAAACAAGACAAAAACACTCCATTAACCTCAGCATGCAGCCTTGAAGCACTCTGCACTGTTCGAGTTGTCAGGTCTGCAAAGACTTGCAGTAACAGCGACATATATTTGCTCACAGACGATGACTTGTCGATCCCTGACACGACACGTATTGTTGCAAGGTCATGCCAGAGCCTGCAACGTGTGTAATACCAACGACATCATCATGCCGGACCATCTCTCGAACCCCGGGCAGTATCCCGGGGTTAAAGGGTCCGTCAAATTTGAAGGCAACTCGCAGGATTAAACTGCTCAGTGAAGCTACTAACCTCCCAGATTAAAGAGTTTCCAAGGCCAGGCAAGACTTGCGACTTCAAAAGGATCCAACCGCAAACTCTTGGGGGATGATGTTCAGCCCAACAGGCTGTGCACGGTGTTGTGCGTCTCCCCGCTCTAGCGTTGGACCCTATCAAGTTGTCAGGGAGCACCGTTGCTCATATCTTATTAATGGAAGCACTCTCCCTGTGGTAATCTGGGTGAAAAGTGAAGCCCCTTGTTTTTGTGTGTGTGTGTAAAGTGCCCTGCCCATCAGCAGACATAGCTCCAAGATTAAGTTATTTTCATTTTATTCCTGGTGCGCTACCTTGTGCGACTTTTGTCACCAGTTGTTGCTCGAGTCGCCCCTCCTTCCACACCAGTCTCCGTTGAGCACACAGCCAAGCGGTGAATTATAGTGAGAAAGTAACACGACGATAAACGTCATCAGTGAGTGCAGCTGTAATGCTCACTCATCAATCTGCGGAGCAGGCGGCTGTCATGTAGCAGCAGCAAACGTGCGGCAGCGCCACGCACGACAACACCAGCAGTAGCAGCAGAGCGCACAGCCACATCAATAGCAGCCGTCTGGTTTAAGAAGCTTCGTCTGGCATCAGATTCGCCAGACATGCTTGAGGCTTCTTCAGGCAGAGCGGGGCTTTGTGAACGATGCTGACCGCCGCCTCTCTCTATGAAGCTGACCAACGCCTATCGCATGCCTAGCCCATTAACCCCCACCCTCAGACACTGTCCACTTCTAGCCATTACCCAACCCCCCAGACCGAAATGAGAGTCGTGAGATGCGCTCACAGCCACACCCACGAACGAGACACCCAGGATGGGGCACAGACACCAACAGCTGTCCATTCATGACGAATAAAAAAAACAACCGCTAAATGTTACGATTACCCACCCTATGCCACAGGTAAAATTTATCTCAAAAGGCAAGAAGTGATTTTTTTTTAAATATCATCGTAAGATGTAGTATAATAGTACTGTTATTGTTAATTAATTTAGTAAGCGCTGTTTGGTGTTCATTGTTCAATTTTGTGGCAGTGAAGCAATAATGTTAATTGTTTAATGGTTTGTGGTGTTAGATGTGCCGAGTATTTATTTACAGGTTTAGTCCTCTTCTTTGGTTCTTTCGGTAAAGTCACGTAGAATGAGAATAAAATATACATTGATAAAATAAAATAACACAATAATATTCTCACGACGTTTCGGCCACAACACAAGCGGCCTTCATCAGGTGAAGGGACGAGACTGTCTGGTAGGACAGCGCTGGAGTGAAAAAGCCACGCTCAGATCACGACCTTTAAGCTATGTGAGAAGAAACAAAGCGCCTTGACAAAGGAATTAGCATATAATTTAGCATTGAAAAGCCATTTCAATTCTAAATTCTATGCTAATTCCTTTGTCAAGGCGCTTTGTTTCCTCTCACACAGCTTAGAGGTCGTGATCTGAACGTGGCTTTTTTACTCCAGCGCTGTCCTACCAGACAGTCTCGTCCCTTCACCTGATGAAGGCCGCTTGTGTTGTGGCCGAAACGTCGTGAGAATATTATTGTGTTATTTTATTTTATCAATTTATTATTTTATTCTCATTCTACGTGACTTTACCGAAATAACCAAAGATGATGAATCCTTGCAGTCATGAAAGCTTTAAATCGAAGGTTTAGTCCTATTTTGTGAAGCAGATTTCTATTAAAACAAACAGATGTTTAGGCTCATCAGGCTCTCACCTGGCTTAAATGAAGGATATCAATCATCTATTTAACCGCGGGTGGAGTGGTGACCCCAGTGGTTTGCACACTGCGCTATGAACCTGGCAACCTCAGTTTAAGCCCTGGTCTAACATCAGTGGTTAATGATATCCGAACAGGTCCTGTGACCCCCCCTTCACCAATCCACGTTTTACACATGCGTGTTGGAAGTATGGTCAAACAACCCTGGTTGACGGACAAGACATGGGGAGGGCCTTCCTCCAACAGTAGTGTGGCAAAGGGAAAACATTTTTTAGCTATTATTTATATATATCCATAGAGATTCGTTATCAATTTTCAAAAGAGCTGTGCTTCTAAAGAAATATCCAATTATCCGTAGTCAACTTTAATTTTTTGTTACGTATCATCCACCGTGAGTCAGAGCTGAATGTGCAGAGCAAGAAATTAATTCCGCGTTCGGTTAGGGCCCGTTATCAAACTGCGAGCGTAATTATCCGCCGGCAAGACCGTATCATCATCATCGGACCGAGAGCAGCATGTTCCCACAAGTGAAAATTGAAAGCAGCCTCGCGAAGAATCGGGAGAGATATTCGTGGTGCCGACGCAGTAAATCACCGCAAGCGGAGTGAACACACAAACACAAGTTACCGGGAATGCACGGCGAGCAACACTATCTCCTGACCAACTGGGGAAGTAATCCCCCCTCGGAAAGCAGCTGTCACACGCTTAAAACGCAAACGCCACAAAGCCATGCTTAGAGTGGCGTTTTTCTCTTTCCCACACCGTCGGTGCACTTTGCGCGATTACCGTGTTTTTTTCGTCAGGATTGTAAGAAGCACCCTCGAAACGCATGCCCGATCACAAGGGTAAAAACAAATCTCGTTGCACACAACTACCGAGTTATAAGATGCACCCCCCATTTTGTTTTAACAGTGCGGGAAAAAAAAGCATCTTATAATCTAGAGAATGCAGTATACAGCAGGAGGGGGGGGGCGGGGACGAGGCTTTGCTTTAATTGTTTTTGCGTTTTCCTTCCTTGACTTCATTCCACACGCTAAGTGTCGAGATGGACGCCGCTATTTGTTTTGCTGTTTTTCCCACGTGCATTTGGTGATATTATACCCTGCATCCAATAGTGTGTTCTTGCATCATTAACGAACAGCGATTTGCTTATTTTGCATTTTTCACCGTGCGTTATACAATGTAGAATGAAAAAGATCATCACAGATATAGGAGTGAATAACACAGACGGGTAGGGAAATTACACCGAGAGATGGGAAGAGGAAAATGGCTTGGGGAACACATACACAAGACTTAAAACGGTCTATTAAGAAAATTAAGCTGGTCCGGTCGAGACTAACGAGGAAGTGAGAGCCAAAGGAGGGCACACCGGTGAGAAAGAATGTGACCCATGAAGATGGAGCAATGAAATTAGCTTATGCAAAATGGCTTCATGTATTTTTGCATCATGATACCATGAAAGATGGCAACGGGTAGGGGCCCGATCATGGCTGAAAATGATGATGATGATATTAATAGGAACTATGATTTTTAAAAAATAACACCTACAAATGAAAGCACTGGTATCAAGATCATAATCCAGAGGCAAATAGAAACAGCTGTTGTGTCTATGCAGGCATAAACATCTCTCGCTCATTATAAAATATGCCAGACAAAAAAAAAGCCACACACTAACATATTTCCCAGCTGCCGAGGTATAAATATCTGACCCGTTAACACACACGGCATTCGACCTATGCGAGCAGATGTAGAAATGGCACAGCCGCAACACCGACGCTGCTCCACGCAAACAACGCACGCTGTGCGAAAACGAACCGTGATGTCCAAAGTGCACAAATACAAAGACCTCACGTATAGCCTGAACAGGCCGTTGAAGCAAGTGCTGTTAGTGCGAGCATCTATGAAGGCCGGCACGGCACACGAGGGGGTGGGTGGTCAATACTATGCCCGGCCGCCTTTGTTTCCCCAGTGTTGATGTTTATACACGCTGCACCAGGTACTCAATTGAGACCAGTCGACCGACGAGAGGGCTCAGAACTGGTTCAGATAATCGTCACCGGTGTTGGCCGTGAGCGGGAATCGAACTCGGGTCGCCGGGTTCGTAGCGCGGCACGCTAACCGCGACGCTATCCCTCCTCTTTACCTTCTATCCAAGTTGTGCTAGCTCAGCGCTGCCACCATCGAGCCACCTCACACACACACACAAAGGGTTACCATGCCCCCAGCAGCTAGTAAACAACACTGCGCACCTCATTCATGAGCATCTCCACGTTGGACGGGATGAAGAGCTTCCTCTCGTCCAGGGAGCCAATCCCCGTGGTGGCACCGGGCCCTCCCAGCGGCGGCGTCGACCTCGGCGCAGTAGTGCCGTTTCGCAGCGGGGGGGTGGGGGGCTCGTCATCATGCTCAGGCCGCGAGGGCGGGGAGTCGTGCTCCATCTCGAGCTCGCGCAGGTCCAGCATCGACTTGACGGCCTGCGCCCGCTGCTCCCAGCGCCGCCGTGGAGGACCGGAACCGCCGGGGCTCCGGTTACTGTCGCGGCTCGGCAGCGAGCTGTCATCCAGAACCTGGCGGACCGGGTGGGGAGAGCGGGGCGGGCAGTGTTAATTTAATTAACTGATGCAAATATTTGTAAACAAAAAAAAAAGTGTCTTTTATTTTAGTCAACGATGAATAAGAATGGACGAAAATATTCAGGCGTTATGATCACGATTACAACTACCCACCAGAGATCAAAGCATGACTAAGAGGATACGGAGCTTACTACCATGGTCTCTGGCTTATGAGACAAAGGAAAGTAAGACGCACCCCAAATTTGTGCCCGGTGTCAACAAAGTTACACAAATATGGTCACTCACAGAGATAGACTGGATTATAAGATGTATCCTCAGCGCTAGTTTGTAAATACTGTACAAGGAAAACAGTGCATCTTACAATCGAAAGAATACAGTCGTCTGAATCAAGATGAAAACTAAGATATTCTTGGCACACAATGAGAAACTGCAGTGCACTCAGGAAGACCAGAACAGTATTTGGCGACATTATACATCCAGTATATAAAAACGATTAATCGAGTTTACCGATTGGCTGGCCTGATGAGTGGACTCAAGAATTGGCTGCTTTGTTCGACTCGACTAAGAGACAGACTAAATGTAATCCACCAACTAAGGGCCACATTCACAGCTCCGCTCTGGCTGGGCCTCCAACAACGAGAAGCTCAGGCTTGAACCGCTCAGTTACTTTCAAAGAAGGACCAGTGGGCTCAGGCGTGGCTTGGCTTAGGCTCAGGTTCATGGAAATTCTGAGTATGAATGGGACCATGCTCTGCACACCAAATCAAGTTAAGCATTGGTTTGAGCCAGCTCACTTGAGCCAGAGCCAAGCCTGAGCAAGTATATGGGTCAAAGACTTGACGAACATGCCACAGGTTCTTAATGACACGACTATGACAATGAACAGAGTAAAATTAAATACGCTAAATTAACACCAGAGGCAGATCCGTAACCTACTTGCTGTACTGCCAACTAACGGTCACTTTGTAACACTATTACGATGGCCAGCTTTCAGAGGTAAATTTGAGGATATAGGTATGGTTTTATATTTGACAAGAAAGTCTCTTCTTCTACAGTCATCTAATGGCAATCTCATAGCAACGTTATTGATTTCAAAATAATGTTACAGCCCTATGTCAATCCACTGCTGGATGAAGGCCTTTCGATGTCCCCACAATAAAATCAACAATCGTGTGATTTCATTTCCGGTGAGTATACTTCACATTGCTCTACTGCCATCTAACGGCCACCTCAAAGAACTGTTATCCATATGAACAACAATAGCAATGTCAACTCAGCTCTCCAAAATCTTATGATTCAGTATCACAGTAAGGAAACGTCAATAGTTTGTAGTTTCATGGATAGGCTCTCATGCCATCGGAATGTAGAATTCCCTCTTACAACCTCAGGGCTATAAATGGGGGTTGAGTAATACCCCATGCTCATATAAACCCAACACCATTTAGACTTTTTTTTTAGCTTTCATGCCACATCAATATAGAATTTAATTATCGAAGAAAGCCTCAGGGAGTCTCAAGTCCTATTCAGGGGTATCCTACTGCATTTGAATATTTGGTTAATTTAATTCATGGAAAGTTTGGTTTCCGTGTTGGTAAATTCGGAACTCCCAAGAAAAATCCCATTATTCTTACTCACAAACATAAGATTCAAAAAGTCTAGATTTAAAGCTTTCGTGACTGCTAGGATCCATACTCTTTGGTTCTATTGGGTAAAGTCACGTAGGTAAAAAATAAAATAACAAAAATCACGACGTTTCGGCCACAACACAAGCGGCCTTCATCAGGTGAAGGGACAAGAGGTGAAGGGACAAGACGCTGTCCTCCAGACAGTCTCGTCCCTTCACCTGATGAAGGCCGCTTGTGTTGTGGCCGAAACGTCGTGATTTTTGTTATTTTATTTTACCTACGTGACTTTACCCAATAGAACCAAAGAGTATTCAAAAAGTCCATTGCTCTACTGCCACCTTGTGATCACTTGACAGCCTAGCAGTTTTGGGAGTCTTACAAATCTGTTGACTTAGAGCTGCCAACTCGCGGCTCGGTAAATCTCTCCCTCTCATGGCGAGTTTTCAGTTGTCGATACGTAAATTACGGGAGCAGCACTGGAACGCGCAACAGGCTGCACAGTGTGGGGAGGCCTTCGTCCACCAGTGAATAGATAATGGTTGATGATGATGCAGAATGACCTCTGACCTGCTTCTGGGCCCAGAGGGGAAGGTGGGTGACGCTGAAGGGGTCATCGATGTCCGGATCCACATCTGTAAAGCAGAAAGTCCCACTAGAATCATTACTGGATTTACCACTACATTATTGTTAGAAACTTTATGGCACAGATAAAACAAATATAAGAACTTCCAAGAAACACTTAAATCGATTGGCAGTGACCCAGGTCACCATCGTGACCCGGGGATGCCAAAACCTCCATAACTCCGAAACCAGAAGGCCTATGAAGACAGGAGATGTCACCGAGCCCGATATGCACGCCAAATATGGAAATTAAAAAAACACGCAAAACACCCATAAAAAAGGGGGGCTGCTGGGGATTTGTGCCTGGCAACGGCTGTTTATTGCTTGTTTTGAAAGTACATCAGGATGCTGGTCTGGTCATTCCCCAGCACGTTCTGCTTCTTACGGGGGCGGCCACCCCCCTTGTCTTTGGGAGCGAGACCACTCGGAGGCAATGGCGCACAGGACGCTCTCTTGGTACGGCCGGCGGTCATGGTCGTGCTGGCGGGATGGACATTGTCGTCATCATCGCCCCCAACGTCGCCCTCTGGCAGGACAGGGTAGTAGTACCAGCGATGCTCCCAGAAAAAAACCTTAAACTATTCCCGGCCCACCAATATTTTGCGGTGACCCGGGCTACCGCCAATCGATTCACTTATCATGCTTGCAAACATGATAAACGTTATACGTCCATTAAATTTTGCGACTGATTTAACTCATATTCTTGGTTCTTTCGGTAAAGTCACGCAGAAGGGAAACAATAAAATAAGTCAGTGCATAGGTTTAAGCCAAAATAAGCTATACATGGCTAAACGTGGCCCATACCTGCATAAAAACACCAACTAATCGAGACTTGATTAAAGGAGATTCACGTGACTGTACATAATGAGAGCAGAGAGAAACTGCTTGAAAAAAGCAGAAATGCTCACGCTGCGATGCAACGCCGGAGTAACAATAAGAGATGCAAAGAGAAGAGAGGGTATTAGAAAACAACCATGCGTACGAAGTATTGTAGAGAAAGCGAGGGATGCGAGGCCCAGACAGTTGAGCCATGTGGTGCGGATTGAGCATGGAAACATTCACATGGATATTAGCGGAAGGAGAGGAAGAAGGAAGATGAGAAGGAATGATAATAGACACGGGAACATTACAATTGCCGGGGTGACAGCAAGGACGGGAGGAAGAGGTGGGGGGGGGGGCCTGCCACGGACAGAAATGGAGGGAGACCCAGGCAGCTGACACCATAGCTGTAAAAATGAGACACTACGACTGCTGCTACGAGCGACTCTGCTGGGTCACCATAGCCTGTATATTTTGAGTTTTAATGTTCTCCCCGTGGTCGTGTGGATTTTTCTCCGGGTCCTCCGGTTTTCCCCTCCACATATTTTTAGAAACATGCATTGTGGGTATTTGGCTCCTATAAATGTCCACTTCGTTGAGCTATGATTTGTGGCAATGTCGTTTCTGAAAAAGAGCTGTATAGCTCAGTCGGCCTCCCCTGGCAAAAAATCGTTTATAGTTTTGTAATACTAGCGGCTCTGCTGGGTCACTGTAGTGTAGAGTGGGGATCGTAAATGTGTCGAGGGGAGGTTGCTGCTACCTGCGTTGGACACGGCGTCTCCGTTCTGCTCCTCCTCCAGCTCCGCCGTCTCCCCGTCCTCCTTGCTGTCACTGTCAGATGAGAGCGCAGGCCGCGGAGCCGTGCCATACGAGATGCGCCTGCTGGCACGCGCACAGGCGCAGCACAACAAGAACAACAACACGGTTCGGATTTACATAGCGCACAGATGGGGCCATAGCTCACGACGCTGCGCAGAAGCAGAGGGAAAGGAGGAATAATCCGTTCCTATTTTATGGAGAGGAAGAAACTGTCAGTTAAAACTGGAGGAGACGAGGAAGGGTCCTTGAGTCTGGAGTTGAACAGGCGCACAGAGTCAATAGCACGAATAGTTGGAGGAAGAGGATTCCAGACCGTGTTGTCAACAGAGGAGAAAGAGTAACCTGGTTCGATAGAAAGCATTGGGGAGTAGGGCGACATGATAGGGGAGAGGTAGGCAAGTCTGTGGAGTTGAGCAAAGTGAGATGATAAGACAGAGGTCAGCAGGAAAGAGCCTTTGAAGGATCGTGAAGATGGTGAGTGCGAACCTGCAGTTGATCCAAGATTGGATAGGATTTTTTTTTTCAAATTAATGCTACACAAGCACAACCTCAATGAAGGCCTCGCCACTGTCAGTCATAGTCAGTAGGGTGTGGTGAAGTGGTGCCCAGAACTGGTTCAGATATCATTCGCCACTGATTTCAGCCACAGGCCGGAATTTAACTCGGGTATTTAGGTGCGATACCCTCTGTGCCACTGCTCCACTACCATATCAGTTTGTAATGGGACGCCATCATGTGGCAGAAATGCAGCAATGTTCGACACGACGAATTGGCAAAGACGATCTCAACAGCACAGCAGATGGCAGTGCCTACCCACTTCCAACCAATACAGCACTTAAGCTTTCCTGCATTTAGTCTATGGCCTCACAACAGAGATAAAATGGACCACTTTGTTTTAAAATGTTATTTTCCTTATTCTACAAAAAAACACTTGCGTGGGCCATGTAAAAAATAGAATCACACAGCTCTTACTTTCTAACATCTCTGGCAAAGCCAAGCAGGTCATCAGCAGCTTGGCCATGCCGTGTTGAACACAAGAGTCACGTGTTTTGTCTCTAATCCCGCCCCCCACATTATCTCATCACTCGTGCCAATGGCCAGCGAAGAGATGCCACACGCGTGAACATCCCACCCTCAATGACGCTTATCGTAAAAAGCCTCGAAGTAAACAGACCAATCGGTCGCGCTTGTACATAACAATTGCAACGCTCATCACTGCTACGTGACACTCAAGCTCGGACCGTGATCGCTTCCTCGCGCCCACGCGGCGACTATATGATGATTCACGGAGTATATCGTCACGAGGCACAAAGACAAAGACCCCTCCGTGCAGCCTTAACAAACTGTAGGGGCAAGTACTGTTCGCGAGCACCTATGAAGGGCCGGCAGGGCACACGAGGGGGGGTGGGTGGCCAGCACCACGCCTGGCCACCTTTGTCTCCCCAGTGGCGAAGTTTACACACCGCACGCACCAGGTACTCATTTGAGGTTTGCGTCGACCTAGGGGAGGCCCAGAACCGTTTCAGATAATCGTCACTGATGTTGGTCGTGAGCGGGAATGGAACTCGCGTCGCCGCGTTCGTAGCGCAGCGCTAACCACTACACTACCGCTTCGCACACGCCACACACTGTACAGCTGGCACCGCCAGTGTGCAGCTGAACCGTAAAAAACAACTCAAGGGCCGGTGTGGGTGGGGGGGATTTAACAGAGGGAGCAGCAATCTCTTAATCCTCGAGGGAAGCGATCGGACAGCGGAGAGGCAGTAATCATCGTATCTGGGCGCGGTGCGCCGCTAAGTTGCGGGGCGCGCCCACGTGTGGGCGATCCCTTCCCGTCGTCACGCCACGGGGGGGGTGGGACGCTTTTTATTTTCCTCCATAAAACTACCCGGGGCGAGAGGGTATGCTTGGCGGTTCAAGGGTCAGAGATAATGAGCCGTGCACCGCCAAGAGCCTGGGTTTCAATCCGGTGGATCAGGTTCCCCGTAGTAAAACCGGATTTTCAATTGAAGCGGAGTTGATGATCTCAACCCAGTTTATCAGTGACTGATCGCTAAGGCCATCTTATTAATCGTGGCTTTTTAGATTCATTTGTCTGCATTTCAACTGAGAATTGTAAATACAGTATCGGTTTTACTGCCTTTCCCACTGCTCGCGCAGTGTCTTATTTGTTTACGCGTTGTTTTGAAGTTTAATCATGATGGTAACTGCTTGTGACTGGATAGAGCCCATCAACTGTAGTTTGTTTCAAACCAAAGATGTATTCACTGCATCCACAACGCATTTACTTGCACAGATGAAATGTAATTCCCTCTGAGAGTACAAATACATTTTTGGGAAGGACATACCTTTTCATACGTTCTTTTGGCTTTCCAAACAGCTTGGATATGTGAACAAATGGCACTTATTCAAATACAAAGTTAATTGGAAATAGATATTTATAAAAACAACAATGGAAAAAAATATGCCAAGAGTATCCACAACTTCATAACAAATGATTACATTTAAAACTTAAGAGCGCTTCGAAGAAGGCTGCAGCTCATGAATTAACAGTTAAGTTAGTTGATCAAAAAGTCACGTGCGACGGACTGAAGTGTATACTCCCACCCTCTTACAAGACATCTGTCCAACGTGGAAGAGTAGGCCAAATACCCTCTCGAGGTAATTTCTCTATAACTCGCCAGTCCCCCAGTCGTGGTGTGAGCAAGAAATTGCATCTTTACCCCTTTTCTTAAGTGAAGCAATTAGGACAGTCTTACGTTTAGAAGCAAAGGCCCGCCAAAAATCAATAACAGCCTGAAAAATTCCCACGTGCGGCTAGAAGCCAACACGTGCTCGCTAATGCAGCGCCGGTTTAACGAGCGCTGTGTAAATTTGACCGGCGTGCACCCAAGGTCGATATGGATTATTTCTTGCGCACCACTGCCAGTCTCATGCTCATGGAAGTGTGCCGGGGGACGTCCAGACACGTCGCGCGCTCGAAAGCCACTTAATTACACTCAAGCTTTCCAGCGTTTAAAACGTGCGGTCGAGACTAGATGGGGGAAGAGCGACGGCTGCCAAGCCCCCCGAAAACCATGATGACTTTTGCTGCTGCCAGAGACGATGGCAAGCGAGCGTTTGATTCTGTTTGCTCGCGGCAATGGGAAACCAGAGAGGGACATGTAAGTGGCTGAGAACGGCAAACTGTACCCATAAACCTCACTCGTTGATTTCTGCACCCGTATAAGAGGGTTCGGTCTACCAGATGGTTTGATCTCATCCACACTTTATCTTACCACCACACTGTAAGTTACAAAACTCACTCGGTTCCCAACTCGCTCACCAACTCGCTCGGTGTACCAGACGGACTTGTTTCGTCTCATTTACCGTGTGTTCGTCCACCACACACGCAGATCACAACACTTCTCTTTCTGCTCCTTCCCTCGCACTGCTCCACTTTAGTGTTCCATCCCATAGTCTATTTTCCCCAAGCTCTTACAATGGTGCTCAATTCAAGAAATGTTTCAACTCTTTATTACAACCCTGATGGCAGTGTTTGTTGCCGACCACTTGATGCTTTGAGTCAGCCACCGTTAAAAACAACGCTGTGTCAAATTCAAATAAGACTGGATAACGAAATTATGGAGAAACACAGCGACCAACCAGGTGAAATCTGATTTTTTTAAACACAAGATCACAAAAAAGGTTAATTTGTCTTATGCTATTTAAATGGATTCTATAAAACAAAAATGAATATGAAACACCAGTATGCCTGGCTTTTGTAGACTATAGAAAGCCATTCGATTCAGTGGCAACTCAGTCATCCAAGCTCTCAAATAATAAAGTACTTAATAAACATGTTGTACTATTTATAGAGATGGAACAGCCACACTGACATTACATGCTGCAAGAAACAAGTCCAATATGAAGTTACTCAAGTAACTATGCTCTTGCCAAGAATATTAAGCAATATATTAGAGGTTGCTTTCCAAAAACGGGGTTGTAAAAATTAGGGCAAACATAAATCGAGGACGTATTTACAAGCTCAGATTCACAAATGACAGTCATTATCTCAACAAATGAACACGACCTCCAGGAAATTAAGATTGAAAAAAAACCCTAAGTAATTGCACATCTTACTCGCAGCACAATTGTGCGAGCACATTAAAAATGATACTGTTTATAGTTCATGCAAACCGTATCTCACAAACACTAAGGAACGAAAGACATGTTGGAAGGCAACATCATCTTGCTGGCACCAGCAAGATGATTTCTGTAAATTCATGGGTATATACGATGTTTAAAGTGCACACCAAGACACCCGAAACTGCTGCCTACAAATAACAAGTGTTCTGACCTACAAAAAGGACACAATCTTGATTTGAAGCTTTCGTGACTGCAGGAATCCATACTCTCTGGTTCTTTCAGTAAAGTCACGTAGATAGAAAAAAATAAAAAAACACGACGTTTCGGTTTATTATTTTTTCTATCTACGTGACTTTACCAAAAAGGACACATTCAAGCAATTCACACGGCGTCATCGTGAAGGGCTAACGTCTCACTTATCTGTACCGACCTGCAGAACAGCCAAGTACTGATCTCGTGCGTGCACGCATTAGATAAACCCCAGAAGGCTTTACGGTATTAAAAAAAATTAGCAGCTGTGCAATTGGGCAGTGCCTGACAACAAAAGTTTAAATCGAATCGGCAGCCTTTACTTTTGACTTGCGCTCGGCGGTATCTTCTAGTAACAAGATGGTGGTGGAGGGTAACCCTCACGGAGCTTCAGGTTAACGTTGGTGAACATTCCGTGACAAGGCAGGACATACAACACACAAGCCACACAAAAAAGCACGCTAAACGGCAAACATGAAACCACAGCAAGTACGTAAACAAATGTACATTAAGAACGCTTAAAGTCTGCAGCTCAAACCCCCCCCCCCCACATTTCACCCGGCACTTACCCGTAGTGTACATTGTTCGTTTCACGATTAAGTGACCTCTGCAAGACCTGGTTCAGGAGTGAGCCGTCACTTGAACTCTGTATGGATGTATGTTTGCTCGCTGGCAAACAAAGATTGCCGAGTCTAGACATTCTTCTCTCTTCTCGTTTGTCCAACTGCCGCGATACCGAGTACGAACCTGGAGCGGCGCAAGCAGAATCTCGGTGACTTATAGAGAGCTCGAGTGTTCAAAGTTCGTCACAAGGAAGTACTTGATATGGACAGGTGGGTAATGAAAATTCTTCACTGAACGAGTAAGGATTGCGTAAAAACTAACGACATTCTGGCTCGCGCAACTGGTTCAAAAGCTGCCACGTGGCTGCTTTACTACACCGACGCTATCGGTGTTTTACAGAAACATCGCTGGCGGAAAGACCAAAAAGGCGCGCCTGACACGGGTGACTTCGCGGCTTGAGAATGAGGACAGAATGCTTTTTGTAATTGTCGATGCCTGGACTGGATGTTTTGTTTTCAACGCAAACAGACATTTGTCACGCCTTTAGCAAACACACAAGGGCACGTTTAAATGCAGCCAAGTGTTAAATTACGACTGGGACAAAAAGCCTCCACCATAAAATGGAGAATCACCGTAGTAACTGTTTTTTGCCATGCAAAACCCTGAAAATAAATCCCGAGAGGAAATTTGACGCCAAACACAGCAGGTTGGCTTTTTACATTTGTAACAATGGAAATCCATTATTTTCATTGTATTTATTTGAGCATTGCCTATCGGGAACCATACGACCTAGAAAATATGCCTCGCTGTTACAACCGTTTATTTAAAATGTGTCGTAAAGGACGAACGTTTTCGGAAACGTCTTCTTATTCACGGTGCTGATGTCACAAAAGCTATCTCAGTCTTTAGGGTGCACCAATAACTTGCCAGAATGTATTGCCAATGGGTCTAATAAACAGGTGTGGGGTGGTTAGTCAGCTTAACACAAGGCTTCCGCGACCAATATTATTCATAAGTGTGGGGGAGTAACGCCGAGACAGCATGCACCAGCATCGACCCTCCAGCACCAACGCCCCCAATAGAGCCCCCTCTTCCTAGGGGGTTCCCCTCCTGGCAGAGCCCCCCAATGGAGCCCCCTTCTGATCTCCCGAATCTGAACAGCGGTCGATCCAATGCAGCCACTGGGACATGTGGCCGACCCCTCGGCCTCCTCCCTCCACCCACGAAGTTATCTCGCTCAGTGAACCCGGTGGGAAGTTCACAATCCCCATTAAGCACGACCCTTCACACCAACAACACAAACAACCAAGGACACCATCCCTCTGCTGCAGGGTACATTCTGAACCACATGCAATTTTACAAGTCACGCACAAACCAAATGACGTAGGATGTAAAAAAATAATGACTATGATGATGAATGCCTTTCTATGCTCAGAAACGTTTTCGGAAACTTTGTTAATAATAGACAGCTGCCGTGTCAGTTCAGGAACAAAGTAACCCAACCGGTACCTGCCTCCTGGATATACTGTATGTATTGTTGATGACATTGGTTTCAAATTCAATGTCAACGTTGTTTCTGCTTTGATGAGTATTGCGTGGCTCTCATCTCCTGTTCACCAACTTCAAGGCAGTGGTGGAAAGTCCCCATTTCTATAATGAGAGCCAGTCTATCAAGAAGCAAACGGTGTTGACTTCCCACTGAGAGGTACCGATTTTAACAACTCGTGAAAATGTCGGGCTGAGTTGACCCCCGACCGGAATTTGACCTTCCGATTGCGAGTCGTGCACTTTGACCCGGCCAGATCCAGTTCCAAAATAAGTGACTAACAAATAAGGGACTGCGGTAACCACCACAGTCCCTTATTTAAAGTGTGTTAAATTTGCTGTTCTGTGGCCAGTCACTAAATATAACTTTCGTTAAAAAATATTCTTAGAAACTAGGCATGGCGGAGCAGCGATACAGTGGTTCAAATAGTACATTAAAAACCCAAGCCAGTGACCCGAGATTGATTCTCAGCCATGGCTAACATCAGCGGCAAGTGATGGCCAATGCAGTCTTGGCCTGTAGCACGGATCAGCATGGTGAAATATGGTCAAACCGCACCTTCAATTAGCACGGTTGGTTATGTACGGTGCGAAAGTAGTTCAACAAACATACATACAAACAACCTGAGCAATACAGCATGCGGATGGCCTTTGTTTGACCTCGGGCTGTAATTTATCTTTATTACTATTACTGACCATTGGACTCGTAATGTTTTGCCTTCAATTGTCAGTCATAAATCAGAAAACAAATTGTCGCAAATTGATCAAATATTTTTTTTTGTTTCTATCATGGTTACACTCTGTGGCTCTAAGTGGCTGCAGGGGTCACATGAACAGATTTCTTGAAAAAACATGCAATTTGAAAGGAATAATTCTCATCAACACAATTAAATGCGTCTCATGAGCATAATAATAAATTTTCACTGAAGCACTATAACCTGCCCATTAGAGTACTTATTTTATGACAAAACAAGGAAATGTTCCACCTGAAGCTTTTTTTAATATATATACACACACAACACACCAACAACCTTTGGGAAATTTAACAATTCAGTGGGTGGCAGCAGCGTGAACAAGAACATTTTTCAAATCTAAACGCACGAGACAGGTGGCAGTTATGGGTAATCATGTGAGCAAGTGTCGAGGCAGTGAGGCTCAGTGTCCCTCTGCATGGAGTGACTGAATCAATTGCTCTCACAGCCAAAATGACATGATGATAGTGGTGGTTGGCAGCGATGGTGATGACGGTGTCAGTAAGTGGTGCGGTAAGGAGCTGTGGCGTGGTGGTTAGCGCACTGCGCTATGAACCCGACAACCCGAGCACAGATTCCGCCAATGCCCAATGTCAGTGGCAAATATTAGAGCCAGTCATGGACCTCTTCTCGGGTTTGTCATGTAAACAAAACACGCCAATTAGTTACAATTATATAATTGGCAAGTTTTTTTTACGTGACAAACCTTACTGGCTGTGTCGGGTGGTGGAGGGTTACGATACATTTATACTTGCACGATCTAACCCAAAAACCTTTATTATTAATAATGTTGGTCACGAAAGCCTACGTGTTAAACTGGAGTGATGTGTTAACAACATTACTGGGGACACAAACGGTAGCCAGACATGGTGTTGGCCACGACCCGCTCGTGTGCCTTGCCAGGCTTAATTAGGTGCTCACTTACTGCACCTGTACCCAACTGTCTGTTAAAGGTGGCAATGGCGACAGTGGTAGCGGCATTGTGGAGGTGGTGTTAACGATGGTGATGGTAGCAGTGCTGATGAAGGTGCCAATAAGAGTGATGGAGGCAGCAGTGATGGTGGTGATGATTGTGGCAGTGACGGCAGTGGAGTTGACAGTTGTGGTGGTGGTGGTGTTAGCGATGGTGATGTTAGCAATGCTGGTGATGTTAGCAATGCTGGTGATGGTAGCAATGCTGGTGATGGTAGCAATGCTGGTGATGGTGCCAGTATTAATGATGTTGCCAGTAATAGTGATGTTGCCAGTAAGCGATGGAGGCAGCAGTGATGGTCACGATGATTGTGGCCATGATCATGGCAGTGATGGCGGTGGAGTTGACAGTTCAGTGGTTACGTTGACAATACCAGTAGTTTTGATTTAAAGCTTTCGTGACTGCAGTAATTCATATTCTTAGCTCTTTCGGTAAAGTCACGTTTTTATTGTTTTATATATTTTATTGTCTCCCTTCAACGTGACTTTACCGAAAGAGCTAAGAATATGAATACCAGTAGTGATGGCGGCAGTGATCTGGTGGCAATGATGGTGGCAACGGTGGTATCGCCGGTGGGCCATGCTGATGTTGGCAGCGGTGCTGGCGGCACTCACCTAGCTGGCGGGGAGGCAGAGACGCCACGCGGGAGTTTGTGCAGCTCCAGCTGGCGCTGCCGCATGCTCTCAGTAAGCTCGGGGTTGAGCCTCCATACGAACACGCAGCTGTGGACATGCATGTGTCACTCACCACTCGCAACAATAATAATAACGGTAACATATGGCTGATACATTTGTTTTGGGGCTAGGCCATGCAGTCGTTTGATACTGAAACTCACTTTATGAACCCCACCCACACCACCCGAAAAGACTCGTGTATAAAAAGATAATGCGTTGCTCAAATTTTTACCCAATTCAGATTTCCGAATACACTACCTGAAGAAGCTGAAAGCAGTTTGCTTCTGTCATAAAAATTCTTAATCTATCAGTGAGAAATAATTGTATTGGTCAGAATTTGATCAGTGCATTGGCACATATATGTAATTTTGTCATTATAACGACCACCACGTGGCCCAATCCAAAACAAATATGGATCATTGTAATGGCTATAAAAATCTACGTTTCAGAGTTAATGTACAGTTCCCTCAATGCACTGCTGGACGAAGGCATCCGCATGCCACGTCAATCATGCGGGATGGATGACACCACACTTTACCACTCTCCTGGTGAACCATAAATCGCATCAGAACATCAACAACAGGCCAATGCGCCACATCTTCTTCATGAATAGAAAATTAAAGACACAAACCACTGCGGTTGTGGCCATGCAACCTAAACTATGGTCCATATAGTAACCCACTGTAGTCTGCGCTCCTTCATTGGAGCAGGAATATAGCAAAACTACACAAACGCTCACACGTCATCGTGGCTAGAAGACCTCGACATTGGCATTTAGCACCTGAACATATCGCTGCCACGTACAAGAATAGAAAACTAGGCTGCTCTGTGGTTTGGATTTGGTCCAGGGAGGCCAAACACCAGTTCAGATATCCACTCACCATGGATGTTAATCGTGACCGGGCATCACCCTGCAAACTGCTGGCCACCTCTCGAAGACGCTCACTCACATATCACACGTCATCTCCCAACCCCTCACCACCTTCCAACCACGCACCACCTCTTTCACTCCTTACGACTCACCACAGCCCACACGTGTCACTCACCACCTCCCAGCTACCTGTGACTGTCAACACCCATCGCTTGAGACCTTCCAACCACTCAACACTTTCCTCGATCACTTATTACTTTCAAAGCAACTCACACCGCCAAACGCACTTACACTCGCCACCAGCACTCGCAACGTGCCAGGCTTAATAAGCTACAAGTTTGATTCCCGGCCACGGTTATGGTCAGTGGCTTTTCCTCAATGGCGGGTGATCTCTGACCCGGTCCTGGGGAACCCCCTTCAAAAAACGGTACTCACTAGAGCGGTGAAAGTATGGAAGAGCAAAGGGCTGTAAATTTTTTTGTATGTTTGTAATATTGTAATACATTGAATGTGTGCACCAAAATCAGTGCCGATGCATGTTAGTTACTCGTCAAAATCCTTAACACTATGCACGCAAACAAAGGTGTTAACTCTGATCTATTACACCTACAATAGTGCTGTTTGTCGCTGACCACTTGGCATTTTGGGCCTTGGGAACTGTGCTCAGCAACTGTTAAGGGAAAAAAAAACTCACCTATCAGCAGAGACAGAGATAAAGTGGCTGCAGTTGTTGCTAAACTTCATTCCAGTAACGATCTCTGCAGGGGTCAAATGGCACATAGGAAAGGTCGTCAGACAGGGCATGATCTTATGAAGGCGAGGTAGCAGGTGCGGGCGACTGTGTGCGCGTGCATGTCGCCGGTTGCGCAATGTCGCCCGCCCACCATCCCGCCGCATCCTCACCAGAATGTCCGAACATGGTGGCCACACACTCGCCAGTGTAGAAGTCGTATATTGACAGGTTCTTGTCAGAGGAGCTGGTGGCGATGTACATGCCTGAGGGGTCCATTTGAACCTGCCACGTGCACGCAAGGATGCTATCATTAAACAGCACACAGCCACGCAAAGCAATACATTCTCAATAACTGATAGATGAAGGTCTCCCCCAAATCATGTCCGTCATGTGGGTTTTCACATTACTTCACACAAATCAGTGCGTGTTGGTGCAGGGAGGAGAGGGGATGGCAGGTCTGGTTCGGATATCACTTGCCACTGACGTTAGCAGTGGCCGGGAATCAAACGCAGGCAACTGCTTTTGCAGTGCAGCGTGCCAACCACTGCACATGACAATACAATGTGTCGATGTCTTTTTGTTGGGTTTGAATGCGACCCCATCACTGAAAGATGTGCGCCGTGGGGGAACACTCACTAGAGGGAGGGGGTGGAAGATTACACAGGACTGGGGAATTCCTGACAGAATCATATGCAACAGCATCTCAAGATACTGCCGAGAAACTGTGGGCATATTTATTTTATAGAGAGAGGTAGTCAATCATTGCCACTTAAAAAAGAGGACAATAGTCAGTAGTGTAGACAACCAGGGGGAGGGGGATTCCAGCACAGGAGAAGGAGCGACCCCCCCTACTGAGCACAGGCCAGCTTGGGATTCCAGCCAAGGTGGTTGGTAGAGCAAACAGTCGTAAGAGAATGAGATGAGAAGTACAAGTAGGAGAGTAGAAGACATTAGTAGAAGAGTAGGGTAACGAGAGAAATGAGAGGTAAATGTAATGCAGCCTATTTAGAATCTTGAAATTGGCGAGGACAATTATGCGAGTTACTCTAGGTTGCATTAATTGCAAGAGGAGGAATCTGGGGATTGGAGTGGCATGATCTCGCTTACAGGTACAGGCAAGATGTATGGTTAGATTGACGCATCAACTTCGATTAATGTTAATTCTTAAGCTCACAGTATAATGCATAGAATTGCATGCATAAGAATCAACATTTTTTACGAGTATGTCGCATGCAATTGTGGGTAAAAACGTCACTACGGCAGTCGACAGAAGAGCTACGTTTCATTGCGATGTTACAAAAACAACTATCGAAAGGAATCGCGATCTTGAATGGGACTAATTATTCAGATCGCCATGGGTGAATTGGGAGAAGCCATGGGGTGACATTCCACCTGATTGCAAGCAGTCATGGATGCAAAACAAAGTTGGTGGTTAACCTGTAAATCTGACAAGTTGATGGATAACCAGGGAATTGACAAGGCTTACGGTTAACCACGAATTTCCAAAGGTCAGGAACAAAGAAAATAAACGCAAAAATTCGCAGAGCTCATCGTGCAGGGTGCAGCAGGAACGCAGCGCTGCGGGTGACACGGCAACGGCCGTTCGGACACCGACCTTGATGAGAGTGCCGTCCTCTCCCTGCGAGCCCTTGTAGCACTTCCTCTGCTTGCCGCTGACGATGTTGTAAATCCTGCCACACCGACGCACATGGTGGTAAAACACAGATGCTTCTTTAAATGTAACTGCAATATAACTGTAAATATATTATTATCGTTGTTTACATTCACAGATTTGGGCAAGACATGTCACGAGAAGGGTAAATGGCCCAGGGTCGAAAATAATAATGGAGCAACAGCCATGGAATGGAATTAAACCGAAAGCACGTTCACTTTAGAGATGGAGCAATTAAATAATTTTGCATGAAGATTATCGGCAGATTTTAACATCACAAGGATTGTGAGAGGTTGAGGGGGCTTGGGGAGGCCTTCATCCAGCAGTGGAATGACCATGGTTGATAATGATGATGAAATTCTAAGATACTAAATTAAAATGCATCAAGGACCCGTTAAGACAAAAAGGAACCAAAGAACTATGCTTAGGTAAGTTATAAAGGAGGTCAAAACCCATGAACATTTTGTACCATGCTAGTCATGTAGGGTTTTAAACACTCCAATGTATAAACGTGGCTCTGTCTCTGCTGTTCCATCAAGTCACGGTGGTTATAAACAAAGCCCATAACAATGCCATCTATTCAACTATAAAACACGATGATCATACTCACAATACATGCATCCAAATGTGCGTGCAAGTATCGATGTTTATTGATACGCATATTTGTTTTATGTACTGTAATTGGTTGCCGTACAGGCCATCCTCCTGCGGCCACTAGAGGCACTACATGTTAAACGCTAAAAGAAAAATATTCGAACAGCCCCCATGCATCATAACAATTTGGAAGGGGATAGGAGAAGATGGGAGAGCGGGGGTGGTGAATCGATAATAGCAGTAGTTGTAACACAATTTTGATAATCATTATTTTTATTAAATAAAACACTGGGCCCCCCGGGCTAAACATCAATCTATGGAGGCGATATGCCCCATGACCATACCGGATGTTCCTGTCCTGGCAGGCAATGGCGGCATACTTCTGGGTGACGTCCACATCCATGTCGTACAGCGTGGTCTTTCCCACCACGTGGTGCTTGCGCGAGAACTGCACCCCATCTGCGGTCTGCAGAGCACATGGACACGGGCCAGATCAGCGATGGGTTCCACGGCAAAACAGCCGTGCTACCGACCAGCAGAGAGTAATAGCAGCAGCGCAGAGGGAAATGTTAAATTACGAAGTCACATTTGTCAATAATTGTATGTAATAGGTGATATGTTTGTCAAATAGGCCCTTCTTCACAGCGCATAGAAAGGCCACAAGCGGTGGTGTAAGATAATTTGTTGCATCTGCTTTAAATAATGGTATAATTTTGAAGGCACTTCAGGTGGCATACTTGGATAAAGTTGTGGCGGGCACAGTTGAGTTAACCTGGTGGCCCGGGTTCGACTCTTGGTGATGGCTAATATTTCAATCGCGAGCGATATCTGAACTAGTTTGGAGCCCCTCGCTTCACTAACCTGAACTTACCAGTGTGGTGAGTTCCAGTAAAAATAACCTCCATAAACAACATCGTGGGGGAGGAAGGCCTAACAAAGAGCTGTAAATTAAATTATCAAAACGATTCATGATGTACGACATGAACGCTTATTGTAAAATTGGCAAAATAGGCCGATTGTAAGGTTTGTCAGTTTAACACGTAGGCTTTAGCGACCTTTCGCGACCAATATCATCCATAATAGAGCACCTTGGAACGTAAAACAACGGCAATCATTGCCAAGTCATCAATTTCCAAGGAAGAGCAATACCTGATCAAACCAAGGGCATAAAAAACACCAAGACTTTATGGGCTACCAAAAATTCACAAACCTGATGTCCCATTAAGACCCATAGTTAGTACAACATGCTCTGCCACGTAAAAAATAGCACAATACATAAAACAAATACAGCCCTACATCAGTAGGACCTCTTCGTTCATCATAAACTCTGAACATCTCGAAAATATAATTAAAGATATTAAGCTTAACCCTAATGATATTCTCGTAAGTTTTGATGTGACTTCTCTGTTCACGAGGGTTCCGGTCAACGAGTCAATTAAATTACTCGACTAGCTGAACACTGTTTAAAGAACACAGGAGCAGCAATGGGCTCTCCCTTGTGTCCTGTGATAGCAAATTTGTACATGGAAGATTTTAAAACAAAAGCAATAGCTTCAAGCACACTAAAAGGACGCATTTCTAAATCATGTCACCTCGCAAAATCCATCCATCCAGTTCACCACTGAAGTGAAAGCTGACAGAACTCTACCATTTCTGGATATTCTGCTTGGACGGGATCGAAATGGTAAAATTACAGTGTTTACCGAAAGAAAACGCATACTGATGCCTATCTGAAGGGAGAGTCACACCATCACCCCACACAGAAATCTGCTCATATCAAGACCCTCATTCATCGAGCTAAGAACGTGTCAGATGGTGACAGTCTGAGAAGTGAAATTCAACATGTTAAAGAAGTGCTGCAAGTGAACGGTTACAATGATGCACAAATCAACAGGGCATTGAATGCCAAAACCAAATCAAATAACACGAGCATTGAAACTGCCCAAGTAATAAAAACGATCAAAATACCGTACATTGCAGGAGTAACTGATAAACTAGCCAGATGTTTGGAAAAACAAAACATCCGAGTCAGATTTGGCACGGTACATAAAATACAGGAATGAATATCTGCTACAAATGATGTATTACCGAAGCTATCAACAGGTGTATACAGGATTAACTGCACGTGTGGAAAATGTTACGTTGGGCAAACAGGACGAATGATCAGCACGAGACTAAAAGAACATCAGAGAAATATTAAATTCTCCCAAATACAACTGTCAGCAGTAGCAGAACATGCGTGCCAACAAGGACCTCAATTGATTTTGATGTTGAAGTTCTGTGCAAAACTAGCTACTCCTGGCCAAGACTAAAATAGAGACTACCGAAATTGAAAGAAATAAAAAATAATTTTAACCGTTTGGATAGCTACCGCCTTAGTGCTGCGTGGAAGTGAATCATCAAATAATACATTATTTAAATGTATGGCTATGAAGGGCAGCGTACTTCAATAGGGATTACCGTTGGTACGGCTATTTGAATACACACAATAGACAGGAAGGACAAGATCAAAGGGCTCGCATATGCGCAATTTACGTTGACTCAGTAATTCCCCCCCCCCCCCCCACTTTGAGCAAGAGCGCAGAAGCGTGGTCACCACATCTACGCCTCAATATAAGGAACGAAACAGTTAGACTTCTCCACAAATCTGGCTGTCGCCTGATGAAACTAGTTTTAATTACTGGCGAAACGTCGTACTCAGATTATAAATGTTGTGGCTTGTCTCTCCAACACACCGGTGTGCTGTACTAGTGACGAATTGGCATATTTTGTTTACGTGACAAGCCTTACTAGTTAGCTGTGTCGGGTGGTGGCGTGTTTTAAGGACACATTTATATATTTACACGATCTAACCGAAAAAAAAAAACCTCTATTATGGATGTAAGGTTTGTTATAAGGGCTATGAAGAGGGGATGCGTAATAAATGTTTGAATGATGCGGTATGCTGATGTATAATCCCATTGTATAAGGTATCTAAGTCTCAGACTATTCGATGTCATTACCTTTTCAGCGTTGCGAAAGTATATCGACTTGTCACTGCCACAGCTAACAAGCTGCAGCTGGTCTCCAATTCCTACAATTAAAAGAATGCAAATGCAAACATTTTAATAAATTCCGTACACCTTTACCCACTGTGAAATAGCCAAGCTGTGAAATTGTATGCGTAAAAAATAGCATTCTTAGCATTTTTTACAAATTGTCTTTAGTCAAAAATGTGATTATGACGGACACAAATATGAATTTGGTCACTAATTAAATAAAAATGCATAATTCGTGCAAAACTTTAAATGTAGTACAGTAAGCCATCACTAGAGTTATCGTTAAATTAAATTCATTTCTAACGCACATGAAAAGAGTGATGTCACTTTTCTTGGTAGCCAATCGCATTCGTGCCTATGATCAAATGTCTCCGAATATGCACAATCACATCAGATCTCCAAAGCCAACCAGGATTGAGTCTGGATCACGTTTGTATGGGTGACCACCGCCACGCAAAAAACTGTTATTATAGGCTGCTGCAGAGCTAAGTTGTCAGCAGATGGCAATACAGCGCAATTTATAGTTCTTCTATGACCCATTGTCTCTGCTCCTCACCATCAGCAAACTGTGCAGACAAGTGAAGTATGTTTACATTATCTCCATGATCCGCATGACATGTGGAGGCCCTCATCCAGCAGTGGCTTGACTGTGCATGTATACATGAGAGTATATGCCAATACAGATTCTGCAGAAACCAATGGCACTGTAATGGACAGGCCGTTGTACTCATTACACAATTTCCTGTTGCTGCGTAAACCTATCATTCACCTCCTTTGCCGACGATAATAAAAATGAGACACTCGTTCACGAGACCTCCGTGTAGGCAGCACTCAAACTACACTTTGCAGGTGGAAATGCCAAGAACTAAAGTGAAGCCTGCTGGATGGGCCCTACGCGAATGTCATGACACAGGGGTAAGGGGGAGGAGGCACATCCAAAGGCCTTCTTCACACCCGTAGCCTTTCCACATTTGACATATGTCCTTGCCTATTTACATATTAGTAAAAAAGTCACCCTACATCTGTTTAAATGTTTCTGTAACTTAATTGTAATTATTCGATTAATAATTATCAGTCTAAAAATAATTTGCCAAATCCGACTGGCACTACAGAAAATGTATCCTTTAACAGGGATTTATATTTGTGCAGTATTTTTTATTTCTCAAGCGATGCAATTATTAATTGCCCCGATTTCTAGTCACTTCATTGCTGTACTTTATAAAATGTTTATTTTGTCATTTCGGTGAACCAGATCGGTCTTGCACACGAGAATGTCCTTGTCTCTGCAAGTTCTCATCTATTAACGCAAAATCAACTTAACACTTGCACGTCACCGTTGGGTCACGACCAAATGGAATTTTCTGTCTCATGCTATTTCACTTCAAAATGGTTTCATAAGCAGACTTGTAAAATCTCCTTCCACAGGCCACCCTCTAACGTACAGCGGTATTGGACTGCCTCTGCCAGAGTTCCAAAGCGAAATGGCGTCTCATGACACAATGATGGTGATAACATAAATCTAATAAAACTGCCCAAAAACGACAAATATATATTTTAAACTGAGAGTTCTAAATCATAATCCTCTTTTCTAATTACATTCTTTGTTCTTTCGGTAAAGTCACGTAGAAGGGAAACAATAAAATGTTACGAATTTAACCCGTTAGCCATAACAAAAGGAAATATTGGTGAGAAAAAAAAACCCAGAAAATATATATTTTTTAAATCCAACCCCGCGGCAACGCAAACACGCGCGAGTGAACACCCACATTCGCGCGAGCGAACACCCGCATCCGCGCGATCACATAGCCGTTTCTCGGGGTTTATTGTTCCCTGGCGTCGCGTGCCACCATGTGACCCCGCGCGCTCTCTATCCACCCGCACGCCGCCACCGCCGCACCGGAGAACTTGACGGCAGTGACAGCTGACGAGTGCTCGTCGAGTGTCTGCTCCAGGCTGTATCCACGCTCCGCATTCAGAACGTGGATCAGGCGGTCACGGCTCGCCGTCGCCAGCAGCTTCACGCCTGTGCCGTCAGGAGGAGGGGCCGAGAGGCACGCACGGAGCGACACAGAGGAAGCCGAGAGACAGAGATTAATAAATCGATCGATTCAGAACGTGTACCAGGCGGTCACGGTATGTGTCATCAGCGGCTTCACGCCTTGGACAATGACGGGAGGAGAGAGAGACGCGGTTGGATGGGAGCGGGGAAGACAGGGAGGAAGATGGACAGAGATTAAGACACTGATTGAAAGATGTATTTACAAAGACATAAACGTGGATATTTGAATAGATAGAAAGACGGACAGACACAGATGAAGGACAAAGTGATGGATGGACAGAAAGATTAATAGATTTATTTACAGAGACATTTAGACAAACAGAGAAAGATAGAGAAACCCAACGGACAGAAAATCAGACAATTGTAGGAAACAGACAATTAAAAGACAGACAGGAAAAAATAATGGAGAGAGACAGAAGAACAATCTGACCAGCAGAGACAAACAAGAACACAAGATGTGAATACAGACAGCCAGGCCAATGAACAGAGCAGCAGATTGTCTGTTTATGTGATTGTCCAACATATAGACACAAATAGATCAATGGAGAGCGATAGAGACACAATCCCTTAGAGTTATGGGTTATAAACAAATGTGAACACAAGACACACACAGAGCCAGACCAATGGACCGAAGGATAATGAATCAAAAATAAATATACATTAAAAGACGGACATGCACATAAGACAGAGACATGCAATGAAACAGACAAATATAAAGATGAACACAGCAAGGGAGAGATAATGCCAGACACATGGAAGAGGCAATAAAATCAAAAAGCATCTAATCTTCTTTGGTTCTTTCGGTAAAGTCACGTAGAATGAGAATAAAATAATAAATTGATCAAATAAAATAACACAATAATATTCTCACGACGAGCTTAGACAGCGTTGTTATTTGTGGAGTAAATTTTACATCGTTAACTATTTTTACACTCGAGCCCTCATCCCATTTTGCCCACGATGCAAAATCAATGTTCCAGGCACAGTCTACCGCAAACTGTGCTTCACTTTATAGCTGATGGTTTGTTGTGTTTTGTGCGTGGCTGTGAGTGGCGAGCATGTCCCCCCTCGATTATCATCATTATTACCATTAATGCCTATGACCAAATCACACTAAATGTGTCCGATATCGGAGAGTCTCAGATGCCAAGCAGGTTTGAGCTTGCTGCTTAGTAATTGCATGGGTGACCACCACCGCGACTTGCTAGGTGTTCCAGGTGTCCCACCGCAAGGTGAGGCCAGGAGATGGCAGTGCTGAGTGTCAATGGGCCAGTGCAGAAATTGGTACCACCTAAGGCAGCAAAACGTTAGTTGTATTTATACGGCAAATACAAGTGAATTACTTTATAACCCACTTGCTTCAAAAGGTCCTCACATCATTCACTGTTTTTGGCCACAAAGATATTGGAACTGCTAAATTTATGCCACCTCGGGTGGTACCAAAAAGCCAATTCTCTGGTCTGGGCTCATGAATGATTAATGGCATTGGCCAAACATCCCAATGCAGGACCACTCCTGAAAAAAAAGTATTGAGATTCAGGGAGGCTTTCGTGGGTAAATAATTACCATTACTATTGTTTGTAAATGATTCAAAGAAGATAAATACAAGTCTCTGAGCACTACAAATACATTATTGTAAAGCGCTCAGTCTGCCATTAAATACAAATGTTAAATATGAAGTAAACATAAATCACACTGGACTCAAAAATAAGTAATGCATTATTGACCAAAACGTAAACATTCAGAAAATAACTTCACAGTATCACATCATCAATGTATCCATTCATCATCCAGTATCGATGATGAATTAGGTAATATTATAAATGATATGCCGACCTGAAGAAACGAGTCCGTGTTTATGTGTCTGCATGTGTGCATACACACACATTCCTATTTTCACGGTCATTTTAACATTTGTACAGTATTTTATCAACAGATTGTGGCATGCTCGATAACTGGTTTCCACCACCTTTGTTTACGTAACCTCCCCAACTGTACCTTCACGAAACATGAAACTGTCTCGGTAGATTATTAATTCATGGAAGACTTACTCCAGGCATCATTATTTTTAGGAACACACTAATGTGATTGTTAGTGTGGAGTGGCCTGCATCTAGCAGTGGAATCACAAAGGGCTGAAAAATGTTATTATCAGACAATACTCAAGCACTGCCGTGCCACTCACCGGTGTCGGGGGTGGAATACTCCAGGCACATGACCTCCGTCTCGTGGGCTTCGATCTTCATCTGCTCCGCCAGAAAGTGAAGGTCATAGATCCTGCATTGACAAGGGAAGCATAACCCTCAATATCAGACATGTTGCAACAATTTAACAGATAGGCTATCGCAACCAATATCATCCATTGCTGTTTTTTTTGGGTTAGATCGTATACATATAAATGTTGTTGTTGAACCCGCCACTATCCAACACGGCCAAATAGAAAGGTTTATCACGTAAACAAACATGCCAATTCGTAACTAGTTCAACACACCGGTGTGTTTGGAGAGGTAAAACCTGACTAATTGGCCGTGTCAGGTGGTTTAACGATACATTTATATTTACACGATCTAACACAAAAAAACACCTCTCATGGATGTCGCAACAAGACTTGGTTTGAATAAATTAAATAAATATATGCAGTACTTTGTAATTGTATTACAAATGTATTATTAGGCATGTAGTGATTTTCTAGAGCGATGATGGGCAGTGGTCGAGACTAACGTTGGGTGGTAGCCAGAACAGCAAACACGCCTGAGAGGACATTCTCTGATTTAAAGCTTTCGTGACTGCAGGGAATCATATACTTGGTTCTTTCGGTCACGTAGAAGGGAAACAATAAAATAATAAAAATATAAAACAATAAAATTCTCACGACGTTTCGACTGCAACACAAGCAATCATGATCAGGTGTGAAAACCACAGCAAGAAAATTTGAAAAAAGTGGCGTTTTTTTTTTCAAATTTTCCTGCTGTGGTTTTCACACCTCATGATGATTGCTTGTGTTGCAGTCGAAACGTCGTGAGAATTTTATTGTTTTATACTTTTATTATTGTATTGTTTCCCTTTTACGTGACTTTACCGAAAGAACCAAGAAAAGGACATTCTCTGTTGTGATGGTGTGATGAAATCAACTCGTGTGCAGGAACTAGAAGGATTATTGCAGCGCAAAGACCGTACGAGATGACAGCGGCTTGGGAAGGACTTCGTCCAACAGTGGATAGATCATGGCCGATGAAGAATGACTAAAAACAGCCCACACACCACCTTTCCCATGCAATTTTACGACTCGAGGTTACAATTCAACGATCAATTATTTGTTCACTCATTTGTATCGTCTAATTTTTTTGTCTTGTTACCATCATTCATTTTAATTAAAAACACCAATTTACATGTACAACAGTAAGCTTGTATCTTGAGCACAAGAATCTATTTTAATGAACGAATGATTAAACGCCTCCGAACAATACTGCTAATACTGTTACTAAGGGAACCGTGTGAATTTATGAAAATACTACAAATTTTGTATTTAAAGAGCACCTCAAAGTCATTACAGCTTATACAGCGCCAATCAAAAAATCTCAAGGCGCTTTGATGCGAGCGCATATGAACACAGAGTGCACAACGTAGGATCAGACTCATGCAATGATGGTAAAGAAAATGTGCCTCTTTGTGGCATGGGGAGGCTGAGAACAAGCTGTGAATAGGAAAAATATGCCAGCACTGTGAAGCTGTGAATGGTCACTAGCACAGAGGTAACGTGCCAGTCACAGTGCAGAACAACCTGGCTGGGAGATAAAGGAGGAAAATATTAAAGCCTACACTGGAACAGGGACAGGAAGGGAAGGGAGGCAGTGGAGTTCACAGCCAGAGGGAGCGTTTTCTGTAACTCTCACGGTCCAATAAAGCATCACTTCGTGATGTCTGTGTCAACTACAAGGAGCTCTGTTGACATTTGTTGGCTGCTGCAGCTCAACAATATAGAACAGCCACCATAGAGGGGAAAACAAGCCGTCATGAATGACTGAGCCTTCCAGGACAGAAAGCAAATAAAACATGAGCCGGACAGACAGGAGATGTCTCCCCCGCTCTCGTGATGTGTGGAGCACTGTGCCATACGATGTCAATGGCTCTAGACAGCGTGAAATACATTTTTTGTAAAATATGGAATCAGAGCTGCCTCAGTACAAAAGTGGACACCGGAAGAATATGGGTTCCAGAGAGAAGCACAGAAAGAGACATCCAGAGACACGGACAGAAAAACAGAGAAACAGACAGAAATGGACAAAGACATAGACATGTAGACAGACAGACGGACATACACAGAACGACAAATACAGAGATACAAACTCTCGAACACAGAGGTATGCAGAGAAATACAAAGACACGCAGAGAAGTTTCAGAACCCGTGGCCCTCTAAGCAGACACAGAGAGAAACATCCCTTAACACATTTTTGGGGCAAGTGCTGTTTGCGAGTACCCGTGAAGGCCGGTACAGCACACGAGGAGGTGGTTACAGCAAACATCACGCCCACCCGCCTCTATCTCCCCAGTATAAATGTTGACACATCATAACAGGTACTCATTTGAGGCCGAGTCGACCTAGAGGAGGCCCACAAAAGGTTAAGATAATCTTCACTGATGTTGGTCATGAGCGCAAAATCGAACTCGGGTCGCTAGGTTCGTAGCAGAGTGCCCTAACCGCTACCGCACACGCACACACACGTACATGGACACAAAGACAGCAGCAGCACTGGCCAGGTCAGATTGTGCCAGGAGATGGACAAATCCCGGTTGGCGGTGGCGCGACATGGCGAGCATACGGCTACGCACCGAAGGTTTCCGGTACGGTCGCCGGAGGCCAGGTGCTGCCCATCTGGGCTGACGCACAGCGTGCGGATGCCGGTCTTGGCGTCGGCAGAGGCTGGGTCAGCCTTGTCGGAGCTGCCGGCCGGGTTGTTCTCAGAGTCCTGCAGGCTCTGCAGGTTCCCGTCCACGTACAGCACCTTCAGCAGGTCCTGTGAGAGGAACATCCTCTTGCGGTGAACTGGGTAGGCTGTTGGGACGGGCGATACTCGAAGGTAAAGGTGGATACGTGCCCACATCATGCACGAGCTCAGACCATATATTGCACCTGTCGGTACAACCTGAGGTTAGTGGTTCCAATTTCTTAATGAGGCCAACAAAAGTGGATTCTGTGAGCATATTCGATTACTACCAATTCTTAAAGAGCTACGTATTTTATAGCTTTAGTGCACAAGAGTTTAAACTTAAAAAAAAATATTTGCAAAATATCACTATATATTTGATATTGTTATAGCATTATAGATTTTAATCACCACCTTAAAATTACACTGCTGTAGATTTTTACATCCCGCTCTATGTCCTTCCCTGTAAAAAAAACACGAATTAACTTGTTGAAATCATCTTAATATAACATATGCACCACCGTGTTTGCGGACTGTGCACCATTACAAGACGCAGTTTGCGTGAACGGCGTGAAATTAAAAAAAACACTCATTGTATTTATTGCGTTATCACTGCGAAGGTTTTTACAGCTGTGCTACACAGCTCTCCAATGCACTTCAGGTTGTTCCCCACGGTATTCGGCATGATGCCCAACGGTTCGCTCCACGTGCTGAGAGCCCCTTCATGTTCCCAAATTAGGTTCCTGAAGAAGCTCCCAACACTTTGAGCGAAACGTCAGCCCATCGCGCCCAACACCGCAAGCAAAAAACACATCGTAGAGAGCCAGTTGATTTGTGAAGTGAATGTTAAGCGACGAGGTACGTCATTGTGTTTCCTGTGCCGCACGCGATGCTTTGTGGCGAGGGCAGCACTGCGCCTGATCGCCCACATCTCTCGACTCTGTGTGTTGAGACTTAAAATACTACACATTCTTTTTTAGGCTGCATCCACGAATATAGGGGGAGATTAAAAAAATACAGAAAGAGGCTCGTTTTCAATGATGTCATAAAAATTACAACAACCGCCATTTGCCACCGCAGCACTTGTGCTACACTAGGTGCACTGAGGCCACGTGCAGTGTCAAAAGGCTCGCTGGCAGGTGGTCATGGGGCAGACCCAGGTGCCATTGATTGACCAACTGAGCTGACTGGCATATGCCAGACACACACGTGCCTATTGTAGTATAGTCACACTCCTCCAAATTCAGAGCCACAACCCATTTGCATTGATCCCCCCCCCCTCATCAGTTCGCCAAAATATCATGGCAACGTTTATCGAGCATTAAAGAAAAAAAAGTTTACACTGACAAATATTTGTTGACACACACATCTCGCACAGTCATCCACCCCAACCCAATGGTGACCTCATTCAAGGAATGTGTTTTTTTGTTCGCAAGCGTCCCACCTCTGTTTAGACAGTAACCGATTCCCCCTTTAATCTGTGGGCGCGCCTCTGCTGACAGCACTAATCCCGGACTCAGTATTGACCCATCACGAAACCTCACCGCCGCACTGCCGCTGTACTCAGGGCCTGGCTCGTCGCCATCTGTCCCCCTTCCCTCCTCCTACTTGTCAAACCGCCCGCTGTTGATTCAACGGCCCTGTCACACGTGACTGGAGCGTGCGGGAGGGTAAGTGTGACCTCTTGGCATGTGGACAAGCGGACCAGCAGATGAGCAGATGAACGAGCGAGTGGACGAGCAGAAAAGCGAAAAGATGAGCGGGCAAATATATTTGCATACGAGTGAACGGTCTAAGAGATGAGCAGTTGAGCACAAAACCAGACAAGTTAACGGACGAGCATATGAAGAGTTGGCCGAATGAGCGTACAAACATATGAGCAAATTAAGAATGAATAAAAAAGGACGAATAAAGGACTAACAGGTAAGCAGACGAATGGACAATCAAGCCAACGGACAAACACATGAATGGACAAACATTCTAACAGAGCAACGGACATACAGACGAGCAGACTAACCAATGGTCAAATAGATGGAAAGGACAACAGACAATTGGATGAGTAAACATACCAATCATCGCACGAGCAGAGAACCAGATGAACAGACAGGTGAGAGGGTGAGCAGATGAATGAAGAAACTAATGAGCACAAATACATGGGGGGAAGGACAAGTTGACATGCTGCCACTCACGCTGCTGTAGATGTTCTGTGGCAGCGCGGCCGTGCCGAGCGGCGACGGGTCACGCTGCAGGTTCCACAGCCGCACCGTGTTGTCCGAGGAGCAGGTGGCAAAGGTGCCAGGCGGGAGGCACGCCGCCACAGGGCCCCTGTCCACCTCCGGATAAACCTGCGGGGGCCACGTATGCATACCACGTGGCTCAAGTCTTTTACAACGTCTTTGGATTTTCTTTTACAAATAGTGTAATTTACGCAACTGCGTCATACAACTACTGCAGACAATGTTCTGTGAAACAGAGCACCTTTCTTTGCGGTAGCCTCGCTATCACACATGTCCTTACTGGACATTTGTGAATAAGAGCTTTATAGCTCATTGGATACCCTCCAGTCTAAATAAAGATTCTGATAAGATATAAAGATCCTGAAATAGATTTATTATCACGGTGAGCAAAAACAGATATCCGCGCTGCACTGAACTGCGAGAACTCGCGTTCGAAAAGCCCCACAATGAAATATTTTGTCGCGCGACGAGGGCAAGGTTTGGATTACCGACCTCCACTCCCCAGACACAGGTGCCGTGGTACAGCGCCGAGAAGACCTTGCCGACCTTGCGCACGTCCCTCGCGTCCCACACGTACAGGCTGTGGTCGTTGTAGACGCATGACAGCCAGCGATTCGTGGGGTCGAAGGTCAGCGCCACCGTGTCCGGATAGCGGGCATCCTCTCTTCGGGTGAATAAATGCCTGAGAGCAAACGCGTGCGTGCATTGTTAAATTTTAGTTCATCATCATTCATCATCAATCATCATCAGCCATGATCAATGGACGCCAAGCTTTGTTGGATAAAACAAAAGGCATTATTAAAAAAGGCATTATCATTCACATTATAATGACCATCATTATTAAACAAAGCAGTTACACTTTAATAATAGGCTTTCACGACCAATATAATCCATAAAGTTTTTTTGGGTTAAAAAGCGTAAATATATGTGTCGTTAAACCTGCCACTACCAGACAGCCAATTAGTTTCGGGTGATGGCGGGCTTAACGACACATTTAAATTTACGCGATCCAACCCAAAAAAAACTATTATGGAAAGCAGTTACTGTGATGACAAGATCGATAATAACAATCTATGAGGACTATGATGACAATGATGAAGGTGATGATGACGATGACGAAGCCGACAATGGCGATGATGCGATAATGAAGATGACAGCGATGGTAGCGATGGTGGCGATGGTGGCGATGATGGCAACGAGGATTTCTACGACAGTGATGATGATGATGACGACGACTACGATATCGATGATAGCCAAACGTACCCGGGCTCCACGCCCAGCGCCACGTCCACGCCAAGGCAGTGTGGCCGCGGGATGGTGGCGACGATGTTGAGATTCTCCGGGTTGAAGACGCGCACCAGACCGTCGGAGCAGCCGCAGAAGATCAGCTCCTCGCTCACCGAGAGGCAGCTGGCAGACGAGGCCTGCAGTGGTGGGACAAGCAGCCACATGGCACCAAACATACGGAATGGTAATACGTTGTTATACAAGACAGCTGATCATCACCATTATCAACAGCTCATGGATAGTGAATTGAAAGTGGTGGGGTGGAGGGGGGGTTAAGAAGCAAACAGAGAATACGTTTTATGAAACAGCAAAAGATGTTGCCAGTGCATGCGTGCCCATGCGTGGTTAATCAAGTTACCCGGAACGGGCCGATTCTCGTCAGATAACAGAAGCTAAGCAGGATTGAGATTGATTGGATAGTGCTCGGTTGTGTGACCATCATGCATACACCAGGAGTTGTAGGTGGCTGGGCAGCATTATCAACAGAGAGCAGTGCAACCAAATATGTTGTTGTACTGAATTATATTCCAATGGCTATGCTTCCCACTTTCACCAACCTGCAACGACCAGCGTTGTTAACTATGGTCAAATAACGAATAAAACGAGACTGTATTCCATTTTCAATTTACCAATCTAGTCACGGTGGGGTAGAGGCACAGCGGTTCGTGAAATGTGCTAGAAACCCGAGGCCTCCACGTACGACTCCCTACCACATATGTACGTATATTTAACTTCTTTCGCACCGTACGTAACCAACCATGATCAACATCAGCGGTGAGCGATCTCTGCAGTGTTCCTGCGTTCCCAACCCTTCTTTCACAAACTGGGATTGACCAGCTTTGTTGACTCAAGGTCACATAATCCTCACGCGGCGTATAGAAGGCTCTTATCCAGCTATGGGTATATACAAACGGCCACATTCATATAAACACGCACACATGTGTAGGTGGCGTGCACGCACAGGCGATATTTGCAAACGACCCACATGGAAAATTAACCACGCAGTGCATAACCAGAAATGGCAATTGAAGCAGAGGAAGACAGTGGAGGAGATGGCCATGAGATGAATAAAATAATTTGGATGCAACAAATGAACAAACACAATGCACTCAATGCTTAAGTTTTCACAGCCAATATTAATCATTTAAAATATATTTTTGGGTTGTGCCATGTAACGATTTTATTCTGAATTCCAGATTCTTGTCCTGAAGATGGTTCACATGGTTTTAAAGCAAAACGTACTTCCTAACTGCGACATTTGGTTGTGAGAATTACTCTTAAACTTACCACGGAGCTGAAACAATGGCAATTGGTGGGTTCAACACTTGTGCAAGGGACAATTTAATTTGTTTGTCTAAAGGGATAGTGGAAAATCTTGTCCAAATGATGACCTGGTCTAACACAACAATCTATTACGCATCAATAACAACGAAGTAAAAGAAATGTAAAAAAATCAGAGGGCCTTTGACAATCAGTTGGACGTTATAGACTGATAGAAACAATCACAAACGCACACAACAAGACATAGCCGGATAGATAAGCAAACAATACATCTCCTTGATATAGCCATCTCTCCACATGAAATAAAACTAGTTTCTACACAACCCGTCGGGCTCAACAACCTTCTTCAGAGTGCACAGTTTCAGCAGCACTGACTCAGTGCTAGCAAACTCTCGACTGGTTTCACACGGCATCCTATCAGCAGTCAGGCTTGCTTGAATCACCGTTTATGACTGCCAGATGTTATAGGCAAGGACCCTCTCTTTAAAATATGGATTTATTTCCACACCCAATCTCCCCTTAGAAGCCTAGTTCCTTCCACCCCGCCCCCTCCCTTATATATAAGCTCCCACTCTCTTCCCCGAGACGGAAGACCCACCCCCCCTGCTCAGGGTAGGCATCAAGCATTCCTCCCCGCCACCTAAACATGGTCAAGCGTTAAAAAAAGCCCCCCCCCGCCCGAACCCGATACATTTTTCTGTGCCCTCCCCCAGAAACCACCGACGCGCTGTACCGGGCTTGTGTGCTTACCACAATAAAAACATTTAAACAAAAAAGAGATATGGGTCCGAGTTGGGAGGCAAACCTACATAAAACATGAAGCAACAACCAGTTGGCGGAGTCACGTACCCCGAGGTCGACCCACTTCTCGAGCAGCCGCCGCTCGTTGAATTGGCACAGGAGACCCGAGCGCGTGATGCAGAAGGTGGCATCGGCCTTGCGTCCGCGGCCGCACGCCACCGCCAGGAACAGGTTGTTCTGCTGCTCTCCGAGCAGCCCCGAGCGCCCGTTCAGAGGCACCGTCCAGTTGACCTGGCAAAGCGACCGTTGCGTTAAGCATGCGCTGGAGGTCCGTGCGCGCTCGGCTCGGGACGTATTCTGCATGCGCTGGGGATGGACTGGCGCGTCGCACGATTGTGAAATGGCAACGGCTTATTAGGGAGGCTTTACTCCAGCAGTGGAGAAACAAAAAATATATAATCGCCTGCACAAACAAATAGCATGTATGTTTAATTTCTTTATACTAAAACCCAAATCCTTTCACAATAAAATACAATAGAATTTAGATTTTTGGAGCATCCCAATGCGAACGCATTTCGAGGTGTTGTACAGAAACGGCGAGCATATTTACGGTAGAGAGCAAAGCGGTCCATGCAAGTCCATGGGTCTCAATGCGAGTCAATCGGCACCGACTATTTTATTGATCTCTCTGTGAGTCTATGGGTTCTTTGCTTGAGTCTATGGATCTCGTTATAAAAGTGCACAAAGTCTGTGCAATACAATACAATTAGGATTTACACAGCGTAAAAATGTGACCACATCTCAAGACACTATATAGAAACAGTGGGCATATTTACTTCGTACAGAAATAAAGTCACAGGCAGTAAAGAAAAGGAAGGTCTGGAGCCTGGCCTTGGACAGGGGGTAGGCAGGCAGTCGACAGCTGGGGAGGCCATTGAACACACCTTTGAGGTCTTTGACGCGTCAATGTACCAAAACTTGACGTGTCGGTTTCCCACCGTGACGAAGGTGCTACTGTCGGCAGAGAATGACACAGCTGACACTTTGCTGGAGACCTTGTTGGTGGCCGCCAGCACGCGTCTCTGTGATGAGACGAGTGGGAGGGTGGATGGAAAGTGGGGTCACGTGGGGGGCGGGGGGAAGGTGGCGGGATTCACACACAAGGGTCAGATACCCTTGGTAGGCACGTGGCTAAGATGTTGATTATAGGCATGCAATTCATCCCTCCAACTCACTATGGTTTGATAAATTGTCAGACTCAGGGGTCAGGATTTGTAGCGCCCCACTTGAACAGTTCATATTATCTCTTTTGTACTGTGTCATCTGGTGTGTGCTGTCCTGCTAATTTGACCGGCAGCGTGAATTAAAATGTACATAATGCTGATATCAGGCAGACAGCTATCGTGCAATTTTGACACATTCTTTTTGAGTATTTAAAATTTATTGAATCAAAGAATTAAAGAAGCCTTATTTTCATTACACTTATCTGCCAACCACCAACAAACGTCCAGTGATGCAGCCAGATATTTGATTATTTTTTTACATTTTATTTCTCCTTCCTTCCTCCGCTCTGGTTTGCTTGGGTTAACCCGGCGGTGGTATTCGGTTACGGAACACATCAGGTTTCGCGACCGAACAAAAGCTGCGCGAAAGTGAAAAGCCACAATCTGAGCTCAACTGGGGTCTAAATCGGAACAGTCCGTACAATTTCATGAGTGCACTTCCACGACGCCAGCATAACCATGCACCAGACTGTGGTCCCAAAGGTAATTTCAATGCTAACTGGGTTGCTGCACTCACAAGATAAAAAAAATAAGTTTCTCAATGAATGATTGGATGAAAGGCAACATATCGTATTAAAACTTGATTTAAAGCTGCTGCTGCTCCCTTTTCCTCGATGCGGCGGTGGCGCTCGTTGTTTAATAGGTTGAAATGTCTCTCATTAACACAGCCGCTGCTGCGGGAGCCGTCTCGAGCAATACAATAGCTTCTTCAGCACTGTACATTAACAGACTGACATGCTAATCTCTAGCAATACAATGGCCGAGGTATACCTAGCTCTGCGATCTTACATTTACTAGCAAATTCCATCTATAGCCCCGCCCACGTATCCTTGGGTTGTACCCATTTCAAACCTTTATAACCTATTGCTGCAGTAGCTCTCTCGCTATATTTCTTCCTGCCTCAGCAGTCCGCCTGCTGTATTTTTTCACCTGAAGACGATTGCTTGTGTTGCGATCGAAACGTCATGATTTTTTAATTATATTATACATTTTCTATCTACGTGACTTTACCGAAAGAACCAAAGAATATATCGTATTAACGTCAACAAGACATTGTGTTCTTGTCGTTTTTTTATCAATTCCCTTCATATCAGGAGAGCTGCATTCGCGATATCATCTGAGGGGGACCAAGACAGGAGGAGACGGAACAAAGAGGATCAATCACTAAAACTCCCTTTATTTACCCAGGAAAGCTCACCGAACTTCAAGACTCTTTGTTCAAGAAGGGTGCTGCTACAATGGCACATATAGCCAATTCCATTAAATGGGAGTTTGGCCTCATGTGGGTGGAAACCGGCATACCCAGGAGAAACCCCATACACTCAAGGAGGTAACAATTGCAGCCCTGCACAGACAGATTCATAAAACAAATCCATGTCTGTGCTGCCATTCCCGGGCCGCTCACATGAGTTTGTCCCCAGACAGTCTCCCATCCAACCAGGCACAAACCTGCTTAGCTCGGAGATCTGATGAGATCAGGCACATTCACGGTGATTCCTATATCGTGATTATCAATCCTTTTCACTGCAATGGTCTCCGTGGATTTTCTCATAAAATTAGAGAAGCACCAAGCTGATCAACTAGGATAAAGTGTGGGTATTCCCACCTCTTAAAATACCCCTGGCCAGCGTGGAAGAGCAGGCCAAAATAATCTCGAGACGGCACTCCAGTGGAGACCCTCTCTGCAGCAATAGCAAGATGAGAAAACAGTTGCAGGGTGCACCTTTACGTAATGCTGTGTCGTTTAGCAAAAAGCAGTGCGGATTATTTAATCTCCCAGGTAAACGAGGGGATAAATTACCTCAGACGAGTCTCTACCACTCACTCACATGCGAGCTCAAAGTCTCAACCCGACAAGAGAGAGAGAGAGGAGTAAAAAAAAAGAGAGAGGAGTAGATGGGGGGGGGGGGGGGGAGGAGGGCAGACATTGAGATGGGGTGGTAGACAGGGCAACTCACCTTCCAGTCCCACACGTTGACGATCATGTCGTGGTGATGGCCAACCGACACGATGTACTTCATGTTGGGCGAGAAGACGACGCACGCCACGCCGTACTTGTGGCCCTGGAACTCGTACACCTGGCTGCCCTCCGCCACGTCCCACACACGCACCGCTGGCATGTGCCCGCTCTGCGAAACAACAACAATCACCACCGTTACGAGCGCAATCGTTACAAGTCGCGACGGCACCCGGCCTCGACGTGACTGAGCCCAGTGCCATAGCATGGATTGGCCCCGACCGCTGGTGGAAGGGCCTCCTCCGCTAGACGGAGCTCCCATCCAGAGGGTATTTCGGCAGAACCTTTCCACAGTGGTCACGCACCTTGCAACGGGTGGGAGTACACACACTTGAACCCACCGCGCTAGATTTGCCAATCGACGAGCTGTGGTGTACCCTGTTTATTCCACTGGGCCCTCCTGGTGCAAGGGAGGCAAATTTGGAGCACCTCTCCACCACCTTCTCCCTACATTCTTCTTTAGCCCTGGCACCTGGGCCCCTCTCCAGTCCGGAAGCCCCCCCATGCAGTTGTACCACCTGCACACTAGATACCTACACCGCTAGCTTAGGTCCTCTGGCCGAAGTGCGGCGCAGATGCCAAGGCTTGCGGCAGCTGTGAGCACCGGTGGTCGGATGTATAAAAGAGCGGTGGGAAACCCGTGGAGATTCATTGTTAACAGTTTACTTTGAACGAATTTTGTGCCAAAATCTGGTGTTTTCAGCAAGAGATGCAAGGAGCAGCGACATTCGCTCATGGCACACTAAACAGACAAGACGAGAATCCACAAAACGTGAGCTCTCACCTCTCCAGTGACCAGATATTTTCCATCAGGAGAAAAGGCGACTGCTGTGATTGTTTTCCTAAAAAGAAGAACAGAAAAGGAAGACACACACGTCAAGCAACTGCCAACACAAAAAAACGCTAAATGTTTTGGTAGTAAACAGGCCACCCCCTGTGTTAAACAAAGTTCCAATAAATATTTCTACAGGCCGGAGTTGCTTTTCAAAAACTGAACAAAATAATGAAAACGTACCAATGCACCGAGATAAGTATATTTTTAAGCAGTGTATATTACCTGCTGTGAAGCACAGATCAGAAATACCGACATTGACAAGAAAAACCGAACTAACGCATCGAAGTGTGGATAAGTGTGTGCAAGGAAATCACAAATGAGATGGACAGAAATAAAATCACATGGATTACAGGACACACACAAGTTAAGAGACATCATATGGAATATGGCCATACCTGGGTATTACTGCTGGTGTAATAACCGTAATAATACATGAGGGAAATACTTATTTCCCTCATTAAAATGCAAATCAATTTATAACATTTTTGACATGCGTTTTTCTGGATTTTTTTGTTGTTATTCTGTCTCTCACTGTTCAAATAAACCTACCATTAAAATTATAGACTGATCATTCCTTTGTCAGTGGGCAAACGTACAAAATCAGCAGGGGATCAAATACTTTTTTCCCTCACTGTACATAGGCAAGAGCAGGCAGGACATTTTGTACCAACATCAGGGCCCAAATTTTACAAACTTTCCCTGAAAAATACTCAATTGGGACTATAACACTGCAATCGTCGTCATGTACTGGCACACTAATGCCCGTTTGCAGGCCAGATGCCGAGTTCACCTTGTAGCCATAAGATACAGCTGCCACTGGGGGTGCCCTTTCAAATGTGTTGAGATGAGATGTGATGTAGAGTGCTCGGAGACGGCCCGGTGCAAAGGGCGCTGAATGTACATTTTAAAAAATCAAATAACATTCGTTAATAAACACTGTGGCCTTAAAAGGAAAAATATATCATAGGCGATGTTTCAGGCAATGGCCCTTCTTCATAGCACATGCATAAAACATTATTAATTAAGTCGGCTCAGGCAGGCGACCACACAAATGGAGCAAGGGAATCAGCTCACATGAAGTTGATAAATTGATTGTTGCAACGTAGGATGATAATAAATGATAATGGCATGGGGAGGCTTTTAGTGGATTGATGAGGCCCGATAATGATGATTCATCGATTTGATCTTTGTCATTTAAATGCTGGATGAAGGTCTTGCAAAGCCATGTCGGTTATTTGGGTTATCCGATCATAAAGGTCGGGCTTTATATTATATTCTTTGGTTCTTCGGTAAAGTCACGTAGGTAGAAAAATAATAGATCACGACGTTTCAATCGCAACACAAGCAATCGTCATCAGGTGGGACAATTGTAGGGGTGCTATGGGGAACAAACACATGGCACGGGAAGGTGTGGTACACCCACACCTTGGTGGCTACAACAACGTCCACTAAGGCTCCACCCCGAGTGGGTACAAAGGGCGGGGAGCCAGGGAGCTCGGGGCAGAGTTTTGGGCCCGAGGCTGAAACAACCAGTGAAGAAGGAAGGCCGGCTAGGTGAGACCCTGGAACTCCTGTCACCGCTGCCCTTTTCAGGGCCGGAACAGCAAGCCAGTGGTGCGGCCCCAGAGCCCCAGAGCCAGAGTCCTTCTAAGGGCCGGTCTGGTTGGTGGGGTGCCGAGATCTGTGCCTAACCAGGCCAGATCAGATAGCCTCCCTTAGAGCCCTAGCCGGAGGAATTGAGAGCCTAGAGCTTAGGCTAGATAGCCTGGGGTGTGTTCCTGAGTTATACGGGTGAAGGGGCCGCTACCCCTCCTAGTGTAACCCTTGTTAAGGTTTGAATAAATAGTGCTGCCTCTACTCTGCCGTCTCCGTGTCCTGGAACCCACTACAACTGGTGTCAGAAGTGGTCTTAAAATGGACACAAGAAGTACAAACCGATCAAAGGAACCTCAGGAAGAAGACGACTCGCCTGGGATAGCGCCAGAGGCCGGGGCCGATGATCCTGGGACGCCACAGATGCCCCAACAGCTGCCGCAGCTGGAGGAGTGGCCGCCGATGGAGGACGGGTTGCAGGCGGCTCACGCTCGACTGGCTGAGCTGCTGTACCCGCGGCTTCCACGCTGGAGGAGATCAACCGCGCGGGGCTGCGGGCGCAAAGGCGGCAGGGGGGAGAACGCCGTTCAACGGCCATTCCCGCCGAAACACAGCCGCAAGATTTCGGACTTGCCGCCATGACAGTATCCGCCACGGCGATTGGAGGGTCGCAGCACCAAGTGGACGCTGGGGGCCAATCAGCGGTGGTGTCGTCATCACCAACGGACGCCCACTGCCAGGACCAATCGGCGGGCACATCGTCATCACCTGCGCGACCGCCGATGGGTATCCCCAGCCCCTCCAACGCCAGCGGAGATGCCGGAAATGGCGCGCGGCACCTCTCCGAGACGGAGCCGTCGTTTCAGCAACGCCTGCCGGTGTTAAAGGAATTCGTTTCCGACGGCGGCGACTGGGGGCCTTTGAACGCCGCTTCTTCACTCATCAAGAGATGTCCGGCTGGACGGACAACGAGGCGTTGCATGCGCTGCCGGCCATGCTGGACGATGACGCCCTCGCTACTCTCATCACAGCTCCCAAGTCGGCACGCGCTACGCTGCAGTCGGCGCTCCGTATCCTCGCCACAGTCTACGGGCCACCGTCGGACTGCCGCCAACTCTTCCACGAGCGATGCAGGGACCAGAAGGAGTCACCGCTGGCGTACCGCACGGCTCTCCTGGCCCTTGCAAAAGCGGCTTTCCCGCGGATAGACGGCGAAGGGGGTGGACGCGATGGTGACGGAGAAGCTCCTGGCGTTGGCCCAGGAGCTACAGATCGTCACCGTCGCAGAGGATGACGCGGACATGTGCTCCTTGCGGGCAGCAAGACACATCCACGCGCACCTGATAGCGCAGCGCCAACCACCTCTCGTTCCCAAGGGTGCAGCTGCGATGTGCACTGGGACGCCAACCATCCCCTCCTCTGAGGAGGTCTTCGCGGCGGGTCGCCCGGTGGAGTGGAGATCCAGAGGGAGGCCGGCTCGGGCAACACCGGATCGCCAGGAGCACCCCAAGGCGCTCATCACGTGCTATAACTGTGGCCGCAAGCGCCATGTGGCTGCGGAATGCCGGGCGCCTCATCAACGACAGCCGGGACCCCGGTTGGACGGCGCTCCAGCCCACAGGCCTCCGCATCGCAACCCGGCAAGTCGCGGCACCCCACATGCTCGGCCTGTGCACACACTTGTCCCCACCTCGCGCGTTTCGGTGTACGGGCCTCGGGGTACGCCCGTTGGGTTGTTGGGTGGCGGCGGCATCGAGAGGGCGCTCGGGCCGGGGCAGTGGACGGAATTGGCCCACCGCGTTGTTGCTGCGTCGGCAGGCTCGTCCATGGTCGCGGGTTGCATTGGCGGGGTCGAGGTACGTATCCTCGTCGATACGGGAGCTTCGGCGACTATTGTGTCAGACTTGATTTATAATATTCTTCCCGTTCAAAGCCGCCCCTTGCTCCCAGTCACCGTTCCGTGTTACACAGCGAACTGGGGTTCGCTGGCTATCATAGGCCAAATTCGAGCACAAATTTGCATTGGCAATATCAAACTCTCCGGGCCGATATTAGTCTCGTCCTCGCTGGCGGTTCCGTGCTTGTTGGGGATGGACTTTTTGGGCAAAATGCCAATTAAAATTCTAATTGATCAGGGTTGCATCGAGCTTCCCTCGGGCCGACGTGTAACATTCCTGCCCTCCCCCGTCACCTCAAGGGCAGCGTGCGCGTCGATACAAGCGTTCGCCACTCGGACGGTGCGTGTACGTCCCGGGGCGCAAATGCTTGTGCCCCTTCGCTTGCGTCGGCCTTTCGCGCCCGGTGTTCCGGAGCAGGGAATTCTGTTAGGGCCCTCGAGGGCTGGGGAAAACGGGCTGGATCTGGTGGCCGCTCAAACGATCGTTAAGGGGAGCGATGACCCGTTTATCCTCGTCCTTAACGTTGGTGTACAGACGGCCGTCGTTCCTCAGGGAAACGTGTTCGCGCACGCGACGCCGATCCCCGTGGTAGACACGGTTATGGGTAATGTGGGGACCGATCCCTTGGCTCAACCGCATTCTGAGGGGGACGATAGTTGGATGGACGCACTATGTTCGGGCACGAGTGATCTGTCCGACTCCCAGCGTGCCGGCTTACGCACCCTTCTGACGGATTTTTCCGATGTCTTTAGTAAACACAAATGACATTGAGTGCACGAAATTGTTGCGTCACCACATTGACACGGGTGACCATGCCCCGGTACGCCAGAATCCTTTTCGGTTAAGTTCGGCCGAAAAGGATCATGTCAAATCGGCAGTGGATGACATGTTGGCTGCAGACATTATAGCCCCTTCCACCAGTCCATTGGGAGCACACATAGTGCTTGTCAAAAAGCACGATGGGTCCTTGCGATTCTGCGTGGATTTTCGCCGCCTTAATAAGATCTCCGTGGTCGACGCGTATCCACTTCCCCGGATGGACGAATCTCTGGATGCTCTGGCTGGCACACGTTTTTTTTCTACGTTGGACTTGTTATCCGGATTCTGGCAACTCACATTGGATGATGAGTCCAAGCCAACGACTGCGTTTCGCACACCACACGGCCTATTCCAATTTAACCGGTTACCTATGGGATTACACTCCGCTCCGGCGACATTTCAGCGCCTTATGGAACTGGTTTTGGCTGGCTTACAGTGGAACGTCTGTCTGATCTATCTGGACGATGTCATCGTGTTCAGCAAGACATTTGACGAACACCTTTTGCGCTTGCGCGCCGTGTTCCTCAAAATGCGCGCTGCAAATTTGAAATTTAAGCCGCAAAAGTGCCACCTGCTACGAGAATCCGTACGCAATTTGGGGCACATCGTCAGCCGCTCAGGCATATCCACCGATCCCGCAAAGACGCAGTGTGTCAGCTCCTGGCCGACTCCCACCTCGGTGGCTGAGGTCAGGAGT